GCCGTTCTCGTCAAAACTATGTTTAAACCATTTTTCGAAAAATTTACACACTGAGAATTAAAAAAAACATTTACCTTACTTGGTATAATAAACAAAACTACGTATGGCAATATTTATTTGAGCTTGGTACCCCCAAGCAAATACCCGCCCCCCCCCCCCCCCCACAATAACATACATATCCCCAAGTACATGTAACAAAAAAGTCCAAATGCTAGTAATATATGTGTAACAAAAGTCTAAAATATGGCTAAAAATAGCAGCAGATACCACACAAACACAACACCCTTAGTAATGCTACTGGGAGGGTGGGTGGGAAAGCTAGCAGATTTTTTTAGCGTCCAGCCATGAGCAGTCTGAGTACTGTTTGAAAGCATGGTCCACTCAAACGAGGCTTGAAAAAATGGGGTTTGCAAAATGCATGAGAGAGAGCGCGGTAAATTCAAACCTACGTGCTAAAAAACTATTTACGGATAAATACAATCACTGAGATTAAAAAACCTAAAACACACACTGAGAATTAAAAATTACACACTGAGATTTCATAAAGACGCAATGAGATTACAAAAAATGAAAAACACACACTGAGAATTGAAAATTACACACTGAGATTTCAAAAAGACACACTGAGATGAAATAAACTGAAAAATATACACTGAGAATTTGAAATTACACACTAAGAATTTAGAATTACAAACTGAGATTTGTGCGCATATATCTATAAATTAGCATACTTAATCTGAATCTGTTACAAGCTTAAAACAACTAGGGGACAGAACTCGTTAGTCCTTAAATTTGGCGCCAAATGTTTTATAAAAAACATAACAAATACAACGTATAGAAAAACTACGTTATTAAAGACCAAAAGAACAAGAAAAATATCCACTAAATCTCATTAAAAAATATAACCAAATGGTGAAAAACTTTATCAAAATTTTAAGAAAACATTGGAACAATCTGCAACAGTGAAATTTTTACCCAAGTGCCTATTATAGCATATAAACGTAACAAAAATATAAAAGATTACCTTGCGAAATCAGGGTTACAGTTGAAAGACTTTTGAAAAGGGACCCATGCTTAAACAGTTAAAAGCAAAAAATTCCGATACACTGTTAGTAATAATCTGAATTATAGGCAACAAACTTATGAGATTTCGGGAGACCAAGATATTAATCTCAGTGTTATTTTAGGTTCTTAAATCTCAGTGTGGTTTTTTTTTAATTTAAAAAAACTATAGGCTCTCAAGAGCCTGTGTCGCTCATCTGATTCTACTTTGGTTTTGGAAATCATGTAAAAATAGATTAAAATCATAACAGATACCCTAATAATGAGTGAGGCCAAATTTGGTTTAATATTGGCCCTGTAATTTAATAAAAAAATCCTGGTGGCCATCTTGAACAGTAAATCGGCAACAAAGTAGCAACACTTCATCAGCACCTCATAAGAAACATTTATGCCATGTTTGGTTTCATTCCATTCAGTGCACCTCTAGAAGAAGCATTTGTATGTATTTCCCATAGGGTCTTATGTTAAAGGAAGTCCCCCTGCTGGCGGCCATCTTGGATGATGGATCGGCTTCAAAGTAACAACACTTGGTCAGCACCTCATAAGGAACATTCATGCCATGTTTGGTTTCATTCCAATCAGTGGTTCTCTCAAAGAAATCATTTGTATGTATTTCCCATAGGGTTCTATGTCAAACTAAGTCCCCCGCTGGCGGCAATCTTGGATGATGGATCGGCTTCAAAGTAACAACACTTGGTCAGCACCTTATAAGGAACATTCATGTCATGTTTGGTTTCATTCCATTCAGTAGTTCTCTAGAAGAAGTTAAAAATGCAAAAAGTTAACGACGACGACGGACGACGGACGCCAAGTGATGAGAAAAGCTCACTTGGCCCTTTGGGCCAGGTGAGCTAAAATGGTTTTAAAATAGTTTTGACGAAAACGGCTTGTCATAAATTAGAATCATCCTGATTGGCAAACACATATTTAACACTTTGCATCAACAGACATGTGTCTACACAGTATGTCAAAGTCTAAATCCTGTCATTGTTAGAAATCTAATAGGAAATTATTATTATCTCTGTTCGTTACTACCGTAACAGCTAATAAAATAAATTAAAAAAAAAAAAGATATCACAGAATGTTTTTCTTTCCGTCAACAAAAATACAACCTTTTTCCCGCAGAAATATAAGCATACAAAATAACTGTTTGGGAATATGCACGTATGAAAAATAACCCTGTTACATTTTGTGCCCTTTTGAACGTCGAAAAAAAACCAGACCATCCCCCCTTCCATTAGTTGTCGTCAGGCCAAAATATTTAACGCAATGTAGTAATGCAACTAGGTCCTTCATCAACAATATCCAATTCTTTTTATTCCGCGAGGTTTACTCTGGTCAATGCATAAAATCGTGTCTTCTTGCACCTTGTATCCTTTTTGAGGTTCAGATGAATAACCGCCAATATTAGAGTGTAGGTTGGCATTAGTAAGCCAGGACAATCGCCAGAGTTTATCTTTAGACATATCTTAATTTTTTTGCCGTGTAGGGAATTTTGTGTTTATTCCAATTTCTGAAAGTATTTTTTTAAACATTTCATTTCCAGACTAATTGCGATTTAGAAGTTGACATTTTTTTTTAAACATTTGTCTATTGTTGGACACTGTATGTTGACCTTTTTTTTCTTTTATGTCGTCGTTGCGTTACTGTCACAATGGCCTATACCTGCATTTTCCTTTAAAATCCATAAACTCCAATATAAGTAGAACAATGAAAACCAAAGGTTAAAGATTGACAATCCATCACTTTTCACGATTCAGCATACTGTTCATTAAAATATTAGAGGCGTGAAATAAATCCAAATACTTTATGAAAGAAATCTGTTTGTCACGCAAGAATATTGAAATTAATAGTCGAAAATAGACATTTTTGCGTCAAGAAATTCTTAAATGAACATTGTGAATATTATTGGGATGTGCTGGTGTGAAATCAAAATATGATTGACCGAAAATTGTTATTCCAAACAACAGGAAAACATACGATTAAAGTCGAAAGACTATTAGATGTTATTAATTTTCATTAAAGATTAAATAAAACTTAATGATCATTCTTTTGATATGACGTTGCGCACGGTGTTGGTACAATGATATGACGTTGCGCACGGTGTTGGTAGACTGATATGACGTTGTGCTCGGTGTTGGAACACTGATATGACGTTGTGCACGGTTTTGGTACAATGATATGATGTTGCGCACGGTGTTGGTACAATGATATGACGTTGTGCACGGTGTTGGTACAATGACATGACGTTGTGCACGGTGTTGGTACAATGATATGACGTTGTGCACGGTGTTGGTACAATGATATGACGTTGCGCACGGTGTTTGTACTATGATATGACATTGTACTCGGTGTTGGTACAATGGCATGACGTTGCGCACGGTGTTGGTACAATGATATGACGTTGCGCACGGTGTTGGTACAATGAAATGATGTTGCGTACGGTGTTAGCACGGTGTTAGTACAATGAAATGACGTTACGCAATGATATGAGGTTGTGCACGGTGTTGGTACAATGAAATGACGTTGCGCACGGTGTTGGTACAATGATATGACGTTGTGCACGGTGTTGGCACACTGAAATGATGTTGCACGCGGTGTTGGTACAATGATATGACGTTGTGCACGGTGCTGGTACACTGAAATGATGTGTTGCGCGATGTGTCGGTACAATGATATAACCGTTATGTACGGTGTTGGTACAGTCTGTTTTTTCTTTATATAATCGATTCATTATTGAATTATGCATAATTATGAATCAAAATTTTAAATTTCAAAAATTATTATACTCGAATTTTCTATTTCCATGCATCTATTATTTCATAAATGAGTAAAACGTTTCACTTTTGTGAACAAAAGATCAGAATTCTAGTATTTTGTATTTTTCCCCAACCATCGTAAATCATGGCAAGAATATTTGGAAAGTTTTTAGTTAGGCAACAGGATTTTTAGATATAGCCGTTTGTCACAATGTCCGCAAAACGTTATTGATGCTATGATCGTGTTAAAAAAATGATATATCATTATATTTATACTACGGCTCTTTATAAAAGTCAAATATTTATCAAATGAGATTGTATGATCTTTCAACAAGTTCGAGACTTTTTTTTTTACTTTAGGAACGTCGTTTGTATGAACATGTTTTAAATCATCAAATGAAAAAAGAAAAAAGAAAAAAATATTATCGTACAGTGAAAAAATGAGGCCATTGCTAAATTATAACAAAAAACAAAGATAAATTTGTACAACAATTGTGAAAAAATAACACGTAAAAGAATATAGATAACTTAGAACTGAAAGGTCTTACTGCTTGTCAGGAGATGGCTGTCCTTTTGGTCATTTTTTGTTTTATCAACGTCTGTAATAGGTTTTGAATTTCAAATATTTCAGCCTCGATTATCACCAAAGAGATATTCATTGTTGATATATGCATCTGAGGAAGTTAACCTGGTACCAATAACATTATTGCATCAAAGAAAGCATCGGTGAGAAGAAAAACAGAAAAGACAAAACATAAAGAAGTTAAAACAAATGTTCAATTCAATATACAAATTTAAGTTAATGAAAACCGCCTGTGCATAAATTTGGAACTTAATGTAGGCCTACGCACTCATTAATGCATTCATTAAGGCGGACCGCTGGTCAAAAAGGAAATAATTATACGCATTTTATTTTTTCATCGAAAAACGAAATCAGGTAAACATAATATGCATAACATTAATTTTAACGATTCAAATCATGTTTATATGTTTGAACGCTTGAAATGTTCTTTGGAAAACGTCAAAGTCGTGCATAACGCTGACTGGTAATAGCACCGTGTAAAACGGCATTTGTGATATTGAAGTTATTCAGTAAAAATGCAAGTAGGTCGTTAACAGAAAAGTTCAACGAAAAAATCACAGGCTGTGTTTCTGTTATAATGTGGATGCTGTGGTTCTTTAAATATATTTCAATACAACAAATCGTTGCTTAATAATATTGTTATATGCTGTGGTTCTATTGTTATATGCTGTGGTTCTATTGTTATATGCTGTGGTTCTAATGTTATATGCTGTGGTTCTTTTGTTATATGCTGTGATTCTATTGTTATATGCTGTGGTTCTAATGTTATATGCTGTGGTTCTAATGTTATATACTGTGGTTCTATTATTATATGCTGTGTTTATATTGTTATATGCTGTGGTTTTATTGTTATATGCTGTGGTTCTATTGTTATATGCTGTGGTTTTATTGTTATATGCTGTGGTTCTATTGTTATATGCTGACGTTCTAATGTTATATGCTGTGGTTCTATTATTATATGCTGTGTTTATATTGTTATATGCTGTGGTTTTATTGTTATATGCTGTGTTTCTATTGTTATATGCTGTGGTTCTATTGTTATATGCTGTGGTTCTATTGTTATATGCTGTGGTTCTTATGTTATATGCTGTGGTTCTAATGTTATATGCCGTGGTTCTATTGTTATATGCTGTGGTTCTGTTGTTATATGCTGTGGTTCCAATGTTATATGCTGTGGTTTTATTATTATATGCTGTGTTTATATTGTTATATGCTGTGGTTCTATTGTTATATGCTGTGTTTCTATTGTTATATGCTGTGTTTCTATTGTTATATGCTGTATTTCTATTGTTTTAACTGTGGTTCTATTCTATTGTTATATGATGTGGTTCTTTGATTATGTACCGTGTTTCTATTGTTATATGCTGCTGTTCTTTTATTATATGCTGTAGTTGTATTATTATATGCTGTGGTTCTATTTTCCTCTTCAACTTCGTCTATTGGCCTTTTTAACTTTTTTTATTTGAGACGAAACGCGCGTCTGGCGTACACACTGTTTATCCTCAAATATTCGGCATTGAGCGTTCCTCGTGAAGGTAAACCCAGAAAAGCGCTTCGGACGCATGAATTTTTAAATCATTAATAAACTTAAGTTTCAACTCCCTCAGGGAAAGATAACTTTAGGTGGATTTTACCATTATTTTTAGGTCCTTTTTGGTCATTTAGCTCTTCAACTGCTTCGGTTCTTATACATTCTTGGCTTTCAAATATTCGGCTTCCCGATAAAGGTTAGTCCAGAAAAGCGCTTCGAATGCATGCAATTTATAAAATGTTGTTTTCATTTTTTTCGGATTTTATGAGTACATTATTGAAATTGTATCAAAAATAAGGAGAAGATCCCAAGAGGGCAATAATGGGTGAAACGATAAAAATAGCTCTTATATATGATTTAGTCATAGTCCATTATGTATTTAATAGAAAAACAAAGGATATGCGGTATCCATCTATGACACTAAATCAGTTCATGCACAGCAAAAAAACACACACACAAAAAGCAAAGGGACAGCTCTTTTATTGCTGTTCTTCGTCTCACACTCTCACCTCACTGCAAGTTTAAGACGGGCCCTAGCACCAGCTTGAGCGGAATTCTTTGCAAAAATGATTTGGATAGACTTTGTAAGATGTAACACCACCTAATCAGGCCCGGTAAAAAAAAGAACATACTGGAAAGCAGTACATATTTAAAACAAAATAGTTCCTACGCATAAGGGTAAATCTTAAATTATGTAGCATATATTTTAGTAATTAAGGTATCAGATGAAAGGTGAAGAACGGTGATCCTTGTAGATTTACACAGGAAGTATCATTTTATGATCACAAGGAAACATTTGTTCTTAATGTTATATGCATCTTTGAAATTATCTGTGTTATTTCAACTTCATGTGAACGTGCAAAAACATGTTGTCTTACTTTTATGACCTATCCAGAAAAATAAGTCAGAAGCTTGATAAATTGATATTAAATACTGTGGATTCATTATTTTTCGTGGGGTACCAGTTTTAGTGGATTTCGTGGGTATAGATAAACCACGAATTAAAATGTTAAACGAAGTATAAATTTGCTATAGCATGTAAGTAAAATTTGATAAAAACACGAAATCAAATATCTACGAAAATACAATTTTTCCTCAATCGACGAAAATTAGCCCCCACGAAAATAAACGAATCGACAGTAGATGTTAATGATTGCTTACATCTACGTCATTTGGTCTCTGACGGAAAGTTGTCTCATTGGGAATCATACCGCATCTTTTTATTTTAGATAAGATATAAGATAAGATAAGATAAGAAAAATTTATTTTGATTCGACACAAGTTAAAATACAAACACAAGCTCTTAGGAGCTTTTGACCGAACATAAAAACATATACATAACATAAAAACAGTTTAATTAAACATATAAAACAACATGTAATACAGAGTTGAATCTTACATACATAGCATGCAATAAAAATTAGCAACAAATTTAGAATGAAGTAAAACATTTTTTACCTACATTAAAGTTTAAAATTTAGATCAAAAATATGGTAACTATTTAAATAAACAGATTACTTTTAAAATTCAAATAAAAAGTTTAGAACTATAGTACATGCTTTGAGATCTAGGAATTTCAAAGAACAGAATATTTTCAACATGAATTGATTATCCAATTTCTGGGAATATGAGTCAGAAATTAAAATTTAAATATATAAAAATTCGTGAAGAAATACATCAATACTAGTCCAAAGCAACAAAAAGCAAAATAAATAATAAACAGCTCAAGAGTTATCTGCAGGCAGAACAGCGACATTCCAAACCGTTCCAGGACTGAACAAGACTTTTAAAATGTGAAAAACTATTTTCAGTCCTGAAATGGTTTGGAAGGCTGTTCCATAAAGTTGCGGCAGCAAATCTGAAAGATTTTTTACCATAACGGGTTGACTTTACCTGTGGAACATCCAGAATATTTACATACCTGAAAGAATACTTAGATTTTTTGACACTCACCAAATTTTGTAAGCACACAGGAGCTATATTGTTTATAATCTTGAAAGTTTCTAGAGCCACTGTTCTTATCCGTCTGATCTGCAAGGAGGGCACCTTAGCTTTAAGTAAGAGGTCATCGTAGGAGCTGTTAAAATCCTCGTATACAAAACAGAGTGCTCTTTCCTGCACCTTTTCTAGTTTTTTGGAATTTTTCTCAGTACAAAAATGCCATGCTAAAGGGCAAAAATTTTAATTACTAAGAATAAAAGTATGCAAAATAGTAAGTTTACTAAGTCTATTCAAAACTGAGCCCAAACGTTTTAAAACATTTAGTTGCTGTGAGGCCCTCCTACAGATTGAGCTGATATGAACATCAAAGTTTAACTGATAGTCAATTTTAATGCCTAATAATTTTACTGTTTTTTTACATGTAAGGTTCGAATTTTGAATATGTATAGATGGTTTTTTCTCAAAGGTCTTTGTGCCAACAGCCAAAACTTGAAACTTGTCGGGATTTGCTTGTATTTTATTCACCCGGAACCATTCAATAAGTATTTTTGACTCAGATTCTAAAGTTGAAATTAATAAATAAAAATCTGGAGTACAGAAAGACAAAGTATTGTCATCTGCATAGTTATATAAACTACCATTTTTAACATAAAGAAAAATATCATATATAAGTACGTTAAACAACATTGGCACTAGTATAGAAACATGTGGTACGCCTTTATGGATGTCAGCCCAACCACTCAGAACATTGTTGACTTTTATTTGTTGTTTACGATTAGATAAATAGGACTTTAACAAAGCACCTGAATGGGAGGATACCCCATATGCTGATAATTTATCTAGCAAGATATTGTGAGGCAGGCAGTCAAAAGCCTTGGAAAGATCCATTATTACCGCTTCAATGTACTGGTTTTTATCAAGAGCTTCACGCCAATCTTCTAACACTCTGAGAAGTGTGGTCTGACATCCATGTCCACGTCTAAATGGAAACACAAAAAAGGATTAAATATTTTATCAAAGTATTCATTTAGTTGAATTTCATATATCTTTTCAAAGATTTTAGAAAATATGGGTAAGACACTAACTGGTCTATAGTTTGTTTGTAATAATGGGTCACTCTTTTTATGAAGGGGGGTCACTTGGGCTTCTTTAAGTTTATCAGGGAAACAGTTATTTTCAATTGACAAATTTACAAGAGTTGTAAGCTGTGGTGCAATATTTTCATATTCATCTGTGCTACTGTACATCTAAAGCTGTGTTTATACATGACACTTCGTGAAACCTGTGAGGAGTGTTGTTTCCTATGTTTTTTTCAGGGTGGCAGTTTTTCACAAAGATACGATTACATTAGCTAGCTTCCTTTTATAGCGAGTACATTTTGACAAGGCTTTTGAATTTTTTGGTCATCCTTGACTTCAAGTAAATGTTAATAGCTGAACTGTGCAGGTTTTTTTTATTTTGTTTGATTTTCGCGACATAGGTCTAAATAGGCAAAGTGGGATGTTTGTGCGCATGTATATTTGGTTTTTCTCAACACATATCGTACTGCATCGACGTACTATCTGGTTTCCCCACCACATATTGAACCTGTTCCAAGACAGGCTATGTTGACATTGTGTTAATCGTTATTGTTTCTCTTCCGTTTGTACGCATTTTTTTTTTAGTATGATGTTGGCGGTTGTTGTAGTCTGTTGTACTGTCCATCTACAATTTTTGGCAATTCCTGATGTCCTTTAAATAATGTGTTAGAAAATAAACGAAGTTGTCATTACTGCATCAATCCCTTGGATTCTACGGAGTCTCGTATAAAAAGCGACACCATCTTGTGTTCGACGTATCATTAATATTTATATTTTAAAATGATATAGAGTATTTTAGACTATTATAACATGGTTAATTTCCATGTAATAAAAAAAGATATATAGACACGGCCATGACTGTATAAAAAGAAGGAAACATAACATAAATTAATCTATCAAAATATAATTAATAGAAAAAAAAATCTGTTACGTTATGAAATGAAAACATCCAGCTGCAAAGTCAGTTCATATGATTCAGAAAATCTTACAAAGTCAAAACTGAGAAAATATCGTGATATTGAACATAGAGATAACATTTATTCTGTGGAAAATAATTACAAAAATCAACATTCACTTTCGAAGATGAAATTTAGCATTTGACTATCGGAGAAAACTAAAGAAATATTAACCAAACCATGTTTAATTTTCAAGATCTAAGTTCAAATATTGGTTTTTAAAACTTTGAGCTAAAACCTTTTTTGAAATCAATTAGTTTCTGATAAAAATGCCGCATTGTTTTGACTGAAATTAACAGTTTTCTACTAGTACTCTGTAGACATTAGACTGATTGGCTACCCCCCTACCCCCCCCCCCCCCCCCCCCCCCCCCCATTAAGACTAGTATATATATATATACATTACAGATATATCACAACTATTTTAGTCATGTACTACGATAAGCATTTTTCACATTTAAGAAAAATCTTTAATCTTTAAAACTACAACGTTACTTGCTTTCCTGTCATATTCTTAAAACTCGTGTTCTTTTTATTAGCGCGTATGAGACAAATTTTAGTACGCATTGTCGCATGTTTTACCCTCGATCGAATATCTGGGATGCAGTATCGTTGACGAAGATCTTACATCTATTTTTGTTCCTAATCAATAGAAACGAAGGGAACCAATAGTTCTGGAAGTTAAATAGATATAACAATACCATTGTAAAATGAATAACGTGTAATAAAAACTGAACAAAGGTTTTCTACAGAGAAACAAACAGGTGAGTAGAAAAGGTGCGAGAGACATAGAATATACCAAAATCTTGAAATCCAACATTAAAAATCCCAAAATGCATCCCTTTCTATTTGTGTAATGATTGACTCATCATAAGATCTAGGAGAATCTGGAGGAGCCTCGATATCAATGACTAGTTCTATAGTATCATCATCATCATCAGTGTCTGTAAATATCCGAGTATTAGGTATCCATCCCCAAGTAGGCTTCTGTTGACGTGGTGCTGAAAAAAAAATAGGGTATTTAAGAGTTTCTGATTTATTATAACACCTGTGGTGTAAAAATCTCTAAGACCCAAATTTATTTCAGAAACAGTGATAGCAATTCAAATACTGGCGTTCTTATAAAAAAAGAAGATGTGGTATGATTGCCAATGAGACAACTCTTCACAAGAGACCAAATGACACAGAAATTAACAACTATAGGTCACCGTACGGCCTTCAACAATGAGCAAAGCCCATACCGCACAGTCAGCTATAAAAGGCCCCGAAATGACAATGTAAAACAATTCAAACGAGAAAACTAACGGCCTAATCTATGTACAAAAAATGAACGAAAAACAAATATGTAACACATAAACAAACGACAACCACTGAATTACAGGCTCCTGACTTGGGACAGGCACATACATACAGAATGTGGCGGGGTTAAACATGTTAGCGGGATCCCAACCCTCCCCCTAACCTGGGACAGTGGTGTAACAGTACAACATAAGAACGAACTATAAAAATCAGTTGAAAGAGGCTTAACTCATCAGATGGATAAAAATACAAATACTACAAATACAAGTGGAGGTGGCCGGATACTTGTACATCCAAACAACAAAAAGACACTAAGTACAGATCTGAGAGTACTCGCAGATACTGACAGCTAGTTCAAAGCCACTTACAACTAATAAAAAAAAATCATGCATCTAAGACTAAATTATCAATCCGTACACATCCAACATCCAATGGATTTAGTGTAAAGACGTCATAAACAGTCAGAGAAAAACATGACCTTGTGCAATGCCAAGATACGGGTATCGACAGATTGTAGATCCATGAATGTGTATATGTATATAACAATAATATTTAGTTTGCTTTTAATTTACTGATAACAAAATCAATATTAGTACCAATAAAAACAATATTTAATGATCTAATTACAGTGTTGAATTGGTAACCTTCAAAAACCATCCAAAAAGGGAAAATTAACAATAGGGAACGAAAAATCGTCTTGATGAATTAATACATATGCCAATTAATTTCTTATTCATCGGAAAATATCGATGAGGCCGTATTACCGTTTTCTAACCTTTGCATGACGTCATAGGCGAATGTTGTGCAAAGTACACCTAACTCGTCGTTAGATCCAAAAATTGCATACACGTTACAACTTAACTGATCCAACAATATCCTATGGTATTTATTGTTAATGGATGCAGGTATACAAGCCTTATTCTTGATAGTAGGACCAACAGAAACAGAAAGTGTGTCTCGTTATCTCTGTAATCAAATACAAAATACGTTTATACATTGCAATTGATGCATACACTGCAATGGATGTCACCAAACTAAAGATCTGCCAGCCATCAGTACCTTATTTCCTATTATGAAATTTGATGTAAATTGAATAAATGTCGTCAGCAGAAAAAGAAGATACATGGAAACATTTAAAACTCATAAGACGAATAGAAATTGACAACACTGTGCAAAAAAGAAGAAGAAAAACGAAAAACGACAAAAAGATAAAGATGTCCACAAAACACTACATAGAAAACAAAAGGCTGAACAACAATAACTCCACCAAAAACCGGGGTCAACTCAGGTGCTCTGGAAGGAAGGTCATGAGCAAAACAAAATTATATGGCTGTGTTTCATTCAGTACCTCGGAGCTGAATGGAGGCATAGGATACAACAACAATGTTGTATCCTTACAATCATTTAACTTTGTTGGTGTGAACTAAAATGATAAAAAGGAAAGAAAAGAAGAAAGAACATACGCTTGAGTCTAGTATCAAATATACTGTTTGTATGATCCTAATAATTTTTTTTTATATAATTCCAGTCAACAATTGCTTTATCCCTTATATCCACAGATGGATCGAGCTTAGAATGTGCGTTTTGTCTGGGACTCTAGGACTATTATCTAACATAATAGTCAGTCAAAGTATTTGTCAACACAAAAACGACTGAATTATTTAAAACTTGTGTCGATGATTGACTCGATATGTCGATATCTGCACACATTTGTATTGGTTCCATTTGTCGTTAACTGCTTAGATTTTGCAATATTATCATTAGGCAAAATCGCGAATCATTCCATTAAACAAGATTATCCATATATGCGGGGGATGTTATTACAGATGTCGGTCGTTTCTTTATTTTGTATTTATAAAAAAACTGTCGGTAATTAACGACATAAAACGTATTTTAAAATTGTTTCCATCAATATATATATATGTGTTAGATGTCCTTGTTTAATACCTACGAGAAGGTAACACCTCTCGAAACGAAAGCTGATTTTTATCAGCTATAGTTAGAGGAGGGAATAGCCTATGAGTCTGCGCAATGCTGAGGCGGTGTTGTCGTAGAAGTGAAAAGTACAGGTTCCAGCCCCGCGAGTCGGGGAGGAAGTAAAGAATCAGATCTACTCTAACATTGTTAGGTCGATTTTTTAGGTACTTTATATACATATATGTATATAATTATATATATTGTTTGTGCTGTATTTATACCCCTCTACCAAAAAAAAAATGTTTTGCATGCACACGTATAAAAATTGCGGTTTTTATCCAACGCAATCATAGGTTTGAACGTTGTTTTCAATTCAGAATTGTATATATATAGGTTTGAACGTTGTTTTCAATTTAGACTTGTATATATATAGGTTTGAACGTTGTTTTCAATTTAGACTTGTATATATACAGGTCTAAATTGAAAACAACGTTCAAACCTATGATTGCGTTGGATAAAAACCGCAATTTTTATACGTGTGCATGTAAAACAAATTTCTTGGTAGAGGGGTCTAAATACAGCACAAACAACATTTTCCAAAAGACTAAAAAAGTGGAAAGTATATTTTAACAAATCGCATTTGACTAACAGGTCGAACAACTGATGTTCTTAAACCTTGCTGACTGCCATTGACGATTGCCAAATAAATTGATCACGAGATGTAACATGGATCTTAATTATTAATTTAATACCAAACAGAAAACAATAAACTTGCGGAAAAGATGGTATACCGCAAACATGAGGTGCAAAAATTTGTACACCATATCCGGATTTCGACAATTAATGTCTCTTCAGTGATGTTAGGGATCGAAACGGTATTTGGAAGGCCATATAATTTACCTCAATTTAGGATAGACTCTTGAATTTTGAAAGAGTCAAAATAGGATGAACGGATCATATAAACCCGAAGGCAAATATAATACAAGCCCAAACGAAAAAATATAAACAAGTCTAAATTGAAAACAACGTTCAAACCTACGATTGCGTTGGATAAAAACCGCAATTTTTATACGTGTGCATGCAAAACAAATTTCTTGGTAGAGGGGTCTAAATACAGCACAAACAACATTTTCCAAAAGACCAAAAAAGTGAAAAAGTATATTTTCACAAAACGCATTTGAAATAATGTAAATAAAATATAATGCATAACAAGAGAAAATTAATGATCTGCTGTATATACTACAAGTCTATTTTTTTAGTACTTCCATAACTTATTGTAGACCAACTGATATACATATATATATTGTGTCTATGTGTATTGTCCATGTCAAACTCTTTCAAGGCAGTAAATGTAAGATGAAAACAAACCCAGCATTGTCAGAAGCTCTGTCGTCTTAATTATAGTTATCACAGAAAACTGGTTTAAAGTAAGGGTTGATTGTATACATATATAGATAATGTTCATTACTATCTAAATTATTAACAAAAACAAGAAAGGACAATGGCCAACAACAACAAATCGAGATCAACAAGCCCAGCATAGCAATTTACGACTATATGTAACAATTAACTATACCTAAAAAAATTATCAACTAAGTTCAAGCATAATATAGCGATTATAATAGTTTAATGTCCTTACTTTTAACCGGAGATGTACAACGTTCTTCTTGGAAGAGATCCATTGGTGTGTTTGGTCTGGATTCCTCGGGTGATATGTTACTCTGGTCGTTGTCTTCAGGGATTAATATCTCTTTTGAATGACACCAAGTCGCTTCCTTCTTGTTCTTGTTTTCATTTTTCTTTTCTTCGGACCTTTCACCGTTTCGACGAGTGGCAGTTGGAAGAACTAATTTCATAAACGACATTTCTCTTGGAACAAGTTGTAGAGGCCTATTTGACTTTTTTTTCCTTTTATGAGTTGGTTTGTCTTTCTTTTTTTGTTTTTCTGTTGTCATTGTTTGCAGCAAGTGTTCCCATTCATCGTTATTTCCTGTCAAATCTTCGTCTGACTCTTCTGTAATGTATAGTACTAAAGTATTGGCGGATGTGTAGATTGGTAAATAGTACAAAAGAGCGTCTTTTCCCCCTGGGAATAAGTTTCAGAGACAAGTTTTGATAAAACTGTCAGAAATTCGTCCCCCTTTCCCCTTTCCATCTTCTCTCTCTCTATTCGAACAGAACAAAGGAAATTTTAAAGGTAATGTGTTTCTTTTATTCCAAGTAGTTTCCTGAGCAAAATCTCATTAAATATTACTGTATATTATCAAAACTCAACAGATCACAAAACAAATTTCTGTTGAGATCTGTATATATATTGTTCGCAATGACAATCACAACATAAGCTCTGAAAAGCTCCTTAAAACGACTATCATATAAAATTCATGCTGTTTCATGCATTACAAAAAATAAATGAAAGGGAATGAAAATATAATGAAAGCATAGCGTATTCGTTTTCGTAAGTAGTTTTTTTGTTTTGTGCTTTTTTATACCAATCTGATGAGTTAAGCCATTTTCAACTGGTTTTTATATAGTTTTTTTCTTATGTTGTGCTATTACACCAATGTCCCAGGTTAGGTGGGGGTTGGGCACCCGTAAACAAGTTTAACCTCGCTATATTATGTGCCTGTCCCAAGTCGGGAGCCTGTAATTCAGTGGTTGTCGTTTGTTGCTGTTTATCATATTTGATTTGTGTTTATTGTTTTGTACACTTTGTTCTTATGTTGTGCTGTTGCAACACTGTCCAAGGTTAGGGAAGGTTGGGCACCCGCAAACAAGTTTAAGCCCGCTTCGTTATGTAGGAGCCTGTAATTCAGCAATTGTCGTTTGTTGCTGCATATCATATTTGTTTTTCGTTTAATGTTTTGTGCAAAAATCAGGCCTTTAGTTTTCTCTTTTGAATTGTTTTACATTTGTCTTTTTGGGACCTTTTTAATATAGCTCGCTATGCGGATAGGTTTTGCTTATTGTTGAAGACCGTACGGTGACCTATAGTTGTTAACCTCTACGTCATTTTGGACTCTGGTAAAGAGTCATCTCATTGGCAATCGTATCACATCTTCTTGATTTTATACTGATTTCTGATCACCCATCGTCTAGCAATCACTGAAAAAATGCTTACAAAACTAAAACGCATATAAATAAGTTTTAAAGTAATGAAGCGCTTGAATTTAAAATCATCTATAAATAATAATGTAAAAAAATACAGTGCAAAAGGCCCGGAAGAAATTTATATGAGTTAATGTACTGTATATTTCCAAAATAAGGGGACGAAAAGTAACTGATGAATAAGCGTTAACTTGATAAAGAATTATGTGCACTTAGCAACTATCTCATGTATATGTCTCCTGATTTTATATTTTTTTATTGATGAAGAAAAGGGAAGAGATATAAGTTAGACTATACAAAGGGTAGATAGGTCATAGGAAATGCTCACCCTCTAAGTTTTCTTTGTCGAATGTTATTATACTTCCACCTGCAATGCTTAGGTTGACATCCTTTTGTTTTTCACAACCTCCTATTTTTCCTCCCAGAAAGTTATCTACTTTTTTCAAATTATCTTCCGTACGTTTTTGGAATCTTTCTGAACAAGCCCGACATTGAAAGTCTTTTCTCTGAAATTTCGGCGAGAAATCATTACACGTTCTGCAGTAAAAATGTCTTTTGCAATTCAAAGGTTTAACTTTAACATTCCTTTGTTTGCAGAAATCGCAGTTGCCACTTTCATAGGACGTCTGCATAATTGGAATACTGTGTGCAGCCATCTTGACAGTTGAAGGTTCTGTTAAATATCCATGGACACATGCTTTGTGACGTGATGCTGGAACGTCAAAGGCATTACACCGTGATAATCTTCACACAATTCTGTAAATTTTGATTACTATTCCTAATGACGATTAAAAAAATACTGCAAAGCCATTCACACTGAAGCTTCTGTGTCATATTTTTTTGTAGTATTGTCACTGACATACTATAACATATTGTACATGTATCAACAGAGACACGAAAACAGGTTACAGAGGGTTAGTTATAAGTGGTGAGTAGAGGAGCTCGCGGATTGAAATATAATTTGCGTCGGCATAGATAAGACTAAGAACACCGAGGCGGTTGCTTCATGGTAGAAACATACTAATTAATTTACTGATTAACTTCATGACATAAACTCATTACACTCAGATAAACTCCAGGACAGACACATACTAAATGATTTAATCTGGTAGTTGGCGAATCGGCACACAAGATAAGGTCTTCTCATTTGGTATTATAGATATAGCAGTATGACCCAGCGTCAAGTCGATCCTTTGCATGTAGAAAATGTATTATTGGGATAAAAATATTGATTGAATGTGAGACTTGCCAAAAATCTCGCAGAAAACCTTGATTAATACCATATATTCAGTATATTTTTTGGGGCTTCATACTAGTCCACTTATTTGCACCGCAGTTACAAATCAAGATCCGACAAGAGGTTGTCCTGACACACTTGGATTTTATTGTTAGAGTGAAGAAGAATTTTTCTACATACATTTGCATGATAGACTCTCGTTGGTTGCTATATTGGTTGTTTGGTCAACACTAAAATAACAGCCCCGTTACATACCACAGACAAACATTTCTGTGAAATTTGGTGGAGCGGTTCTTTAAAAGATTATTGAAATTAGCTATAAGAAAAACCTGATTTTCAAAATCTTGGTTATGTTTCCTATCCCGCGGCGATCTGACCCAGAGAATGGACTAGCTATCATTAATTGCGAGAACTCTTTCGAAAGGTACCTATTGACATTTTTTTGTTTTGATTTTTTAGGTTTTTTTTATTATGTTACACCTCTATCCTATGTTAAGGGAGGGTTGAGCTCTCATGCACAAACATGTCTAAACCCGTCACATTATTCATGTCCCTGTCCCAAGCCATGAGCCTTGGTTGTGGTTGTGTATTGTCTTGCTTTCGATTTTCTTATTTTAGCATAAATCTTGCTGCTTTCTGTTTTGAATTGTTTCACATGGTGCCATGCTCAGTCCTTTTAAAGCCTACCCTACTATACGGGATGGGTTTTGCATTTTCATTTTTGATGAATTTCGTATAATGTAGTTTACAGCCTCGTCCATTGGTCTCTTGTGGGTAGTTCATGCCACATCTCTTTATTTCTACATTTATTAACTACATATATGCACATGCTCCATTATCTGAGGTTCATGCTGGGACTATTAATTATACTATGTTAGAATACTAGTCCAAGGTTGATGCTAAGTGAAAATACAAGAACATTTTTTTACCTAGATTTTTTATATATTTGATGGGAATAATCGTCCAGTTAGACAGATTGGTTGTAATTTATTTTGGCCTCCTGTGAGACTCATGAAGCTTTCAGTGCTGTAACATAGCTGTCAAAATCAACCATTCTTAGCCCACCTTTATGATATTCGTCGATAAGTGTATCCTTTTTACTTTATAATTTTACCTTCCCAAATATATTTAAACAACATATTATTTTTTTTTTTATGTAATTGTCTGAAACAATTTTACAACCACTAATTGTGGTAATTAGGGTATGCTAACGGAACATCGATATCTTCCCATTAGGTTTGTCTTTAAGGGAAATAACTCATGCGCTTAACTGACTGGTTTACGATGAAAACTGACACCAGGCCATAAAGTGTGGAAACGTTGTCGCTGAAACTTTTCCTTTATTTTTTTTGATACCTGTTAGTTGAAATTATGTTCAAAAGAAAACTCTTAGCTTTAGATTACCCTCAACCAGAAACATTTAATACCGAAGGTAAGATTTTGCCCAGGGCTTAAGACAGTTTCTTTTTATGACTATGAGATGCTGCACCGAGGTGCCCGGTACGGCGGTAGTTTTCTTCGACTACTTCGGCTTCCTCCACCATAAATTTATTATTATAACAGACGTCGCGGTGTCCTTACACTCCCATGGTGTTGGGTTGGGGATTGTCCGTGGTGGTGGGCTGTATGAGTTCTAGGAAGGATTCGTATAGTAATTCTTACTATACAAATCCTTGGTCCTAGTCACTTCAGCACCTTGTCAAATCAGCACCCGGTAAGGCGGTATAGTCAATTCAGCACCTAGTCAAATATATGTTGAATATATATTGCAGTATTTTAGGCAAAAAGATTAAAAAAAAAGAAGGGGATGGCCAGAATTATTGTTTATTATCAAGTTCTTTTTGTTTCTTTGTGAATTTTCTTCAAGTTCAGGCAACTTTAATTTGATACACATGTCAACATTGGAAGTGAGACAAGGGTAAACCATTTGGTTGACTGATTCCATCTACAAAAGCTCATTGTTATACAGGAAAAAACGATTATTAACATATTTTTTATACCTTTAAGTATAATATGAAATCAAACAGAACTAGAAAAATCCAATTGCACGAGTTCGCTATCTATTTATATCTATATTTATGTTTATATCAGGTTGTATGACCGTCGGCAGTCTTTGGAGGTCACCTCAATGGTTAATTAGATGGCGTCTAGACTAAAATACACATGAAATGCTGATACATATTATCGAGTTCTTGCATCATAAATTGTTTATTTTAGACTTTTTATTATTTGGATATACGTTTTAATATGTTATAAATCAAATATGAAAATTTGAGTCAAATCCATAAACATGAATTTGAGAGCTAATGCCCCTTTAATTAATTAATTGAAAAGAAACCATTGAAATGAAAACATCAGTCATAGAAGTTTAAAAAAACTACAAACTGCTTAATAACATAAGATTATTTTTAACAATGTACTGAACAAAATAAAATCAAACCCCCAAATTTTTTAAAAATAATTAAAAAGGTGAAAAATACTATTTGGTGCTGAACTGACCAACTAAATGCTGAAATGACTTTAAATAGGTGCCGAAATAACCAGGTGCCGATTTAACTTGTACTCTGGGTTTAGAAGTAAGTGATAAATCTTCATTAATCCTTATAGAGTGTACATGTGTATACAGATTTCACTGTACCCTTGCAGCTCTCAAGGGGTGCTTCGAATCACGTAGGAATTTACTTACATACATACAAATGTACAATCTGTCTTGTGCAGTCAAAGATTTATATCTCACAGGATTCTGTGACTAGATCTAATATTCCAAATTTGGCTGAGAGGGCAGCCAAATCAGAAAATCACTTCAGATACTGAATACCAGCAGTCCAGCCCATGTCCATAGCAGGAACAAATACAGTTAACACAAAGAGTAATTTCTCCCTTGGTCATTTTGCTCTGATTTTATAACTTACCGTTTTTTTTTTTCAAGAATGAAAAATGTTCAGTTTTTGTGTGCATTTGGCATGGAATGAAGTCGGAAAAACAAACTTGCCATGCCATGTAAAAAAATATAAAACTGCCAAAAGACAAAGTTTGAAACATCAGTCTACAAAATACAACATAGATAACTAAAGACTGAGCAACAGGAACCCAACCAAATACCGGGGTAGATCTCGGGTGCTCCTGATGTTAATTTGGAGCATATCCGTCATCATCTGTGAAGCAAATCGTAATTATAGTTATCATTGTTGAAAAGGATATATTTAACGCCAATTGGTATATTTCTTCTGTAGGTTCTCTCTTGCAGACATTTTCCAATATGATAAGTTTTTAAATAAAGGTGGTATGGGAGTGTAAACGAAAAAAATAATAGAATTTGTTCATATTTTGCCAAAATGTAGTATATATTGTAATATGTTCTAAAATATATAAAAACTGAGCTTGTTTTCAAACTATAGGTTGTGAAAAAATGACGCATTTTGTATGGTTTAAACAGAGAAATAGCATTTTTATGTTAATAGAATAAAGTAAATGAAATGAAATGAAATGCAAGAAGATGGCTCTTATAAAATGCTTTCAGAAAATCTAAAAAAAATGTGGTCACCTTGCGTTTTGTCCTGCTATTTATTACATGAAATAGAAAAATTTTCTGTAGTTTTCTTTATAAATTATAATTTTTCTGAGTTTTCTCTCCTCAATAAGCTAAGTTAAATAAAAATGAAATCAAGCAAAAATAATCTACTTTTGTAAAAGTACAATGTATTAGTAATTATAGGATAAAATCACATAAATTTGTTCATTTAAATGAAGGTCCTCATTGGTCAATTTCATTCTGCATCCAATTTTTCTGACTTGATTGAAAATCTAGACCTATTGTGTTCTGCCAGAGGAGGGGCGACAGCCTTAGGTGCTGTGTGCAAAGATTTTTAGGTCACGTGGTATGATTTTAGCGTCCCTTGGCAATTTTGAATCGGGTAAAAGATCGATTTGTTCATGTTTTTATATCAAATATACTCTCTTGCACTCGAAGAAAATATAGAAAGTTTTGAAATAAAAAGATAAATCAATGATAGATTAGAAGAACACTTTATATGAAATATTTTCTTTATTTTTTTACCTTTTAAAGTAAATTTTATCAATAAAAAAATGCACTGTAATGGCCGGAAATTTTATTCGATCTCTGTGAAATCCTGAGGCACATAATTTTGTTGATTTTACAAATGTCAGCATGTGAAAATTATTCAAATTTATGTCAATCAAAGAACACTATTCGAACATTCTAAATCTTTTTAAGTCTCCTTAAGTCTCCAGTGGTTGCTTCGTAATAAGTCGCTAAAATATGATTTCCGGTAAGTAATATATCAAAAATATTTGTCAAATCCGAGAGTACATATGTTATTTTAGGCATATAAACTCTTATTTATTTTAATTATTTTGAAAACAAAATGAAAATTTTGTCTTACAAATAACCATGATGAAAAAATATAGTTTTTTTCATTATTCGATCGTGCATTATTAGGTCTTTCCACTTTTCCATGGAAAGACCTTTTGGTTTTGTTCTGAGATTTTATTTTTTTCTTCCGCCACATTTTGTTCTTGCGTAGTATTGTGGTTTTGCAAGATGTCGCTTAGATTTTTCGCATATGATATCGAACAGTTATTGCGCTTTTGGAACTGACCCTGTAAAACTGTACACTTTACGTTGTAAGAGTTATCTCCCCGAATACTGTTTTTCTTGTGTCCACTACTCCTTCGCAACTGTAAAAGATTACGACAAATTTATTTTACCAAAATGCTTCCTATATCTTCAAGATGATGAGTCGGTTTGCACCAAAGTTCTCCAGAGTCTCCATATGAGAGTTATTTCCCCTTATGCATTTGATATAAGTGATATGCATATAAACTCATAAACCGTAAGCCGTATAAACCTAGAGTCGCTTTATTGAAGGTCCTTGGGTCCCAACTTAGAAGATAAGGTCAAGGTCAAAGGTCAAGGTCATGTTCTTAATTTTGACATTCACTTCAAACTGCTTTTACTCAGAAAAAAGTTAGGGGTAAAATTGAAAAAAATGTGAGCAAAATGTTAGTCGCGACATTATTTATGTCGTGAATATTTGTCGAAATAATACGCGTAGTATTTTGGGGGTTTTCATGCCACTGAAATGGAAAAATCAACAAATTGACTAATTATAGCTTCAAACTTTACAGCTCTCATGATGCGTACATGCAATTTATCTTTGTAAATCATCCAATGCCCACAACTACCCATCTAGCCCCCCCCCCCCCCCCTTTTTTTTTAGGAATCCCATTTCTATTTTATTATAAAAATGCTAATCCTTCTTTTTTTATGAATAAATTTCTTTCTGAAATACAAATCTATTCCTGCAAAATAAAATATCTGCTCCAAATCATGTACATGTATTTCTGAAAATTAATCGATAAACGTTTTTTAAAGTACTATAACACCAGCATTATTTTTGTGTGCATGCAATGAATGAGTCGACCAGTGGTCAGCGATTGGACAATAGTTTACCTGTAAAAAAAATCGAAAAAATATATTTTCCGTTAGCAGTATAAATCATGTGCAGTCCGCTTAACGTTCCAATCTGGATTGCGAAATTAAAATCAATTACGTAGAATTCTCTCCAAAGTTCATAAATAGTAGTAAAATCCTAGAATCAAATGTCTAAACATGCATTAAAATGAAATCTGTGTTCCCGTAAATATGTGTACGAAAAAAGCATGCATGATCAGACTTCAATGACCTGTAAATGAAAGAAAATTAAATCCGTTTGCACATTCTTTATACATAGGTGTCAGTGTGGTCAGAACGACGTCTCTCTCTGCAACTGAATTAAATAAACTATCTTTCTGTGTATATCAATCAGCTTGGTGACGTCACAATCATGTCAACCATCCGGTGCAACGCCTGCTACCTAAAATAAAATAGGGGTTTCCCCCTTTTCAGAAAGAATTAATCACATAGGTTAAATACAAAAGATCCATGCAGGTCAGGTCGGGCCATTTTAAATACAAAATTGAATACAATGCACACACAATAAGATCAATAAGTAAAAAATAAGTCACAAATTCCGGGAAGCACTATAAAAAAAAAAGAACATTTATAAAGGAAGATGCAAGGATATTTTTGAAGGCCTGTTTAAATCCTTGCATGTTCCTACAAATATCATAACTTGAATATAGCTAAAATGTTGCACGGACCCGTTTTCGTGTGCTCCTAGAGCCTAGGTCTCAAGTGTTTGAACACGGGCACTAGGCTCTCAATGCCTTTTTCACATGTTCCTAGAGGCTAGGTCTCAAGTGTTTAAACACAAGCACTAGGCTCTCAATGCCTTTTTCACATGTTCCTAAAGGCTAGGTCTCGAGTGTTTAAACACGGGCACTAGGCTCTAAATGCCTTTTTCACGGGTTCCTAGAGGCTAGGTCTCAAGTGTTTAAACACGAGCACTAGGCTCTAAATGCCTTTTTCACGTGTTCCTAGAGGCTAGGTCTCAAGTGTTTAAACACGGGCACTAGGCTCTCAATGCCTTTTTCACGTGTTCCTAGAGGCTAGGTCTCGAGTGTTTAAACACGAGCACTAGGCTCTCAATGCCTTTTTCACGTGTTCCTAGAGGCTAGGTCTCGAGTGTTTAAACACGGGCACTAGGCTCTCAATGCCTTTTTCACGTGTTCCTAGAGGCTATGTCTCAAGTGTTTAAACACGAGCACTAGGCTCTAAATGCCTTTTTCACGTGTTCCTAGAGGCTAGGTCTCGAGTGTTTAAACACGGGCACTAGGCTCTCAATGCCTTTTTCAAGTGTTCCTAGAGGCTAGGTCTCAAGTGTTTAAACACGAGCACTAGGCTCTAAATGCCTTTTTCACGTGTTCCTACAGGCTAGGTCTCAAGTGTTTAAACACGAGCACTAGGCTCTAAATGCCTTTTTCACGTGTTCCTAGAGGCTAGGTCTCAAGTGTTTAAACACGAGCACTAGGCTCTAAATGTCTTGTTCACGTGTTCCTAGAGGCTAGGTCTCGAGTGTTTAAACACGGGCACTAGGCTCTCAATGCCTTTTTCACGTGTTCCTAGAGGCTAGGTCTCGAGTGTTTAAACACGAGCACTAGGCTCTCAATGCCTTTTTCACGTGTTCCTAGAGGCTAGGTCTCGAGTGTTTAAACACGGGCACTAGGCTCTCAATGCCTTTTTCACGTGTTCCTAGAGGCTATGTCTCAAGTGTTTAAACACGAGCACTAGGCTCTAAATGCCTTTTTCACGTGTTCCTAGAGGCTAGGTCTCGAGTGTTTAAACACGGGCACTAGGCTCTCAATGCCTTTTTCAAGTGTTCCTAGAGGCTAGGTCTCAAGTGTTTAAACACGAGCACTAGGCTCTAAATGCCTTTTTCACGTGTTCCTACAGGCTAGGTCTCAAGTGTTTAAACACGAGCACTAGGCTCTAAATGCCTTTTTCACGTGTTCCTAGAGGCTAGGTCTCAAGTGTTTAAACACGAGCACTAGGCTCTAAATGTCTTGTTCACGTGTTCCTAGAGGCTAGGTCTCAAGTGTTTAAACATGAGCACTAGGCTCTAAATGCCTTTTTCACGTGTTCCTAGAGACTAGGTCTCAAGTGTTTAAACATGGGCACTAGGCTCTCAATGCCTTTTTCACGTGTTCCTAGTGGCTAGGTCTCGAGTGTTTAAACACCGGCACTAGGCTCTCAATGCCTTTTTCACGTGTTCCGTGTTTAAACACGGGCACTAGACTCTCAATTCCCTTTTTGCGTTGTCCTAGTGGATCGGCCCCATGTGTTTAACCAACCAACCAAACCACCTACCTACCAACCAACCAACCATTACATGCTTGTTGTGGTTCCTTGTGTTTAATACAGGTCCAAGATCTCATTTGTTTCGTGTTTGCTTGTTTCAAGCGACCCTATCTCACGGGTGTAATAAGTCAATCAATCAATCAATCAATCAATCAATCAATCAATCCATCAATTAATCAATCAATCAATCATGTTTCGGAGGGGAAAGACCGTTAACAATTGTTTTTAAAACAATTGATTTATATTTTGTGTATTGGATTGCTCAATTGCCTTCACTCTAGTGTTATCTCTGTTTTTTTTACTGACACGTGACGAAATAATGCAATATTTAAAATTAGTATTTTACAAAACTTTGTCCGGATTAAAAACTTAAAACCGACTGAATAAATTAAAATATGAGAATTCAGTGATTATCAATGTCGAAATTAGCCTTTGGTAATAAACATTCAGTTTGGGTATAATTTGTTTAGTATGTATGTACAAAGTATATGTATATTGTATAATCAGCCCTTCTGTATATTACTTGATTTTTTAAATGATTCAACAAATTTTGCTTGTCCAGGTGTCAATAACGGTAATGTCCACACCAAGAGTAGTTTGATATAAATGACACAATACCACCGCGACCGATTGATAATATAAGACAAATCTGTGTGCCGTGTGCAGAGTGTCGTCCCTCCTCTAGTGTTCTGCTATTTTACAATCCAAGATGGCAAAAGACACCCATATTACCTAAATAAGTTTTAGAATTTCACTTATGATAACTGAAATGCCTTAGCTTAAATTTCTACTTTTCACTTGAAAATATCATGGGGTACATTAAGACATAAGTTGTTAGGTCCCAATACTGGAAGTAACGTTGATGATATGTAGTATAATATACAATTATGGCCCGTTGAAAAGGTGAACATCCAAAATTGTCAACTCTAAAAGGATATTTCCCTGAGGGCACAGCCAGAAGTGAAATAACTTTTTAGGGTTGATAATTTGGATATTCATCGATTCTTAGGGGCCACAATTGTTTTATTATACCGAACTAACATTGGAAGGGTATTTTGAACCATTTAAAAAATATTGCCTCACGGTAGTAAAAGATTATCAAAAAACTTACGTTAGAAAATTATTTTGTGTCTAAGAATTTCTGGTAGGTACAACAAAGGTAGACTCTTTCTGTAGAATGTTGATGGCCCTGAAAAGGACCGTTTACGAGAGATATCCTCGGCACTTAGATAAATTTCCAAGCCTTGTTTGATCTTGTTCCCTCATTACTTGATGGCCTTCTTTACCTGGCCGTTGCCATTTTATTTACAGGCGTCAATGACGTCATTTTTTATGGGAGGTAACAACTGCAAAAACCAAGGTGCTGAAAAGGTTATTCACTGGTGAATAATATGGTTATACACCGCTGAGTGTTAATTATGGCACCCTCAATGGAGTTGGGGTGACGTATTGTTATTCTACGTTTCTTTTTATCTTATTTTTTTCTTCCACTTTTTTTGTCCAGCTTATATCTCAGAATTTTATGAACCAATGTTAATGGAACTATACAATATTGTTAACCAGCATTTGCAGATTTGCAATCGGTGTATGGCATTTTCAAGATGCCGCCATTACCATAGAAACAGCAAAAATTTCTAAATGCTCCAAACTCAATAAAACTTTACAAAAATGATAATTAGCATGTGTAGATGTGCTCTTTGACTTTGGAATTTTCAAAATGGCTGCCGTTACCCTGGCAATTTGGGGAAGGGTGCCATCTGTTATTGCTAGCAATTACAAATCTAGTTTTTAATGTTATTCATTCTTCCTTGCATTTAAATAAAAATTAACTGAATTATTCCATGTCACGTGATAATGTATTAACCAATAGGATTGTTTATAATATATGTAAGGTATAATAAAAATATATCACTTATAAGTTCTTTTTTTCAGATGAGAATTACTTTAGAAATTTTATTGTTTGGTTGGAAGACCAGAAAATCCGACATTATAAAATTGAGGAAAGGACGGGGCTACGTAACATGCCCAGTAGTGATTGGACAAAACATTTTCAGAAGTATTTAGAGGATTTAGGATGTCCTTATCAACAGTCCCAAAGATCTTTATTAATTGATTGGATATTAGGATATTCAGTCAGATTAGAATATGGGGATAATGGTAAGATATTTGGATATTCAGTCAGATTAGAATATGGGGATAATAATAAGATATTTGGATATTCATTGAGATTAGAATATTGGGATAATGGTACATGTAAGTTATTGGGATGTTAAGTGGATTAGAATATGGGGATAATAGTAAGATATTTGGATATTCATTGAGATGAGAATATTGGGATAATGGGATAATGGTATGATATAATATTAGGATATTCATTGAGATTAGAATAGTGGGATAATGGTAAGATATGAGAATATTCATTGAGATGAGAATATTGGGATTATGGTAAGATAATAGGATATTCAGTGAGATTAGAATATTAGAATATTAGAATATTGGGATAATGGTACAAAAATGTTTGATAATAAGATATTCAGTCAGATTAGAATATTAAGATTATGGTAAGATATTAGGATATTCAGTGAGATAAGATTATTAAGGTAATGGTAATATTTGAATAATGGTAAAATATAAGAATATTAAGTGAGATTAGAATATTTGAATAATGGTAAAATATAAGCATATTAAGTGAGATTAGAATATTTGAATAATGGTAAAATATACGAATATTCAGTGAGATTAAAATATTGGAATAATAGTAAGATATTTAGATATTCAGTCAGATTAGAATATGGGGATAATGGTAACTTATAAGAATATTCAGTCAGATTAGAATATTAAGATAATGGTAAGATATAAGGATATTCAGTCAGATTAGAATATTAGAATATGGTAAGATGTTAAGTCAGATTAGAATATTGGGATAATGGTAAGATATGAGGATATTCAATCAGATTAGAATATGGGGTAATGGTAAGATATAAGGATATTCAGTCTGATTAGAATATTTGGATAATGGTAAGATATTAGGATATTCATATGAATCTTATTAACCACGTACCCCTGGCATTGACCTAAAATCACCATTTTTTGTTCCCTGCGGGACATGTTGAGGGGGACAAAGAAATACCAGGAGTCTTCTTAGCACTCTCATGTGTACAATTCTTGCCTGATTTTCATAAAACGTATGTCATAGGTTTATATCAGTAATGTCTTGGACAAGTTTGAAAATCAGTGCTAATCAATTATTTTTAAAAGAGTTACGCCCCTAGGAAATATTAATTATTTTGAAAATTTCATTGTTAGTGCTGTCAATTGTACAATTTTTGCCAGAGTTTTATTAAATTTATATCAAAGGTTAATATCAGGAATGTCTTGGACAAGTTCGAAAATCAGTGCTGATCAAATATTCATAAAAGAGATATATGCCCCTTGGAAATATTAATTATGTGGAAAATTCCATTGTAAGAGCTCTCATGTGTACAATTTTTGCCAGATTTTTATCAAATTTATATCAAAGGTTTATATAAGCAATGGCTCTGACAAGTTTGAAAATCTGTGCTGGTCAAATATTTTTAAAAGAGTTATGCCTCTTGGAAATATTATTAATATTGGAAATTGCATTGTATTTGCTTTCAAGCCTTCATTTCTTTTAAGATATTTTTTAAAGAACAAAAAATTAAAAGTTGTTTTTATACGACCACAAAAAAATTTTTGTGGTCGTATATTGGTATGACGTTGGCGTCGTCTTTGTCGTCGTCCGAAGACACATTGGTTTTCGCACTCTAACTTTAGTTTAAGTGAATGGATCTCTATGAAATTTTACCACAAGGTTCAATACCACAAATGGAAGGTTGGGATTGATTTTGGGGGTTATGGTACCAACCGTAAAGGAATTAGGGGCCAAAAATAAGCATTTTTGTAACTTCCAGACATAACTTGTGTGTTAGTGTATGGATCTCTCTGACATTGTACCACAAGGTTCCATATCACAAAAGGAATGCTGGGATTGATTTTGGGGGTAATTGCCTCAAAATTTTAGGAATTAGGGGCCAAAAAAGGGGCAAAAAACAAGCATTTTTCTAGTTTCATGACAATAACTTGTGTGTAAGTGTATGGATCTTTCTGAAATTGTACTACAAGGTTCCATATCACAAAGGGAAAGCTGGAATTGAGTTTGGGGGTAATTGCCGAAACGTTTAGGAATTGGGGGCCAAAAAGGGGCCAAAAATAAGTATTTTTCTAGTGTCCAGACAATAACTTGTGTTCAAGTGTATGGATCTTTCTGAAATTGTACTGCAAGGTACCATACCACAAAGGGAAGGCTGGGACTGATGATGGGGGTAATTGCCTCAATATTTTAGGAATTAAGGGCCAAAAAGGGGCAAAAAACAAGCATTTTTCTAGTTTCAGGACAATAACTTGTGTGTAAGTGTATGGACCTTTCTGAAATTGTACTACAAGGTTCCATATCACAAAGGGAAAGCTGGGTTTGAGTTTAGGGGTAATTGCCCTAAACGTTTAGGAATTTGGGGCCAAAAAGGGGCCAAAAAACACATTTTTCTAGTTTCCAGACAATAACTTGTGTTCAAGTGTATGGATCTCTCTGAAATTGTACTGCAAGGTACCATACCACAAAGGGAAGGCTGGGATTGAGTTTGGGGGTGATGAATCATAAGGGGGTTCAAAAAATTTGGGGGGGGGGATTTTTTTTTTTTCCTTTTTTTTCTTTTTTTCCTTTTTTTTTTCTTTTAAAATTTTCCATTTTAAGTTGGTTATTTCTGATTTATATTTAAAAGCAAATAATAATGATATGGTAGGAGATACACACCAAACAGGATGTGTAAATTATTATATAATAAGTATTGTGCAATAGCAAGAAATTTTCAATTGCACAGTATTGCACAATAGCAAGAAATCTTCAATTGCACAGTATTGCGCAATAGCAAGAAATCTTCAATTGCACAGTATTGCGCAATAGCAAGAAATATCCAATAGCACAATATTGCGCAATAGCAAGAAATTGTCAATTGTACAGTATTGCGCAATAGCAAGAAATATTTAATTGCACAGTATTGTGCAAAAGAAGATACTTCGTATAAATTGCTTATTTCTTGACCAATTTCAATGGGGTTTTATTCTTGAATTCTTGGGGTTCTTTAATATGCTGAATCTAACCGTGTATTTAGTTTTTGGATTTTGGGCCCCGTTTTTAAATTGGTCCACATTGAGGTCCAAAGGGTCCAAAATTAAACTTTGTTTGATTTCATCAAAAATTGAATTATTGGGGTTCTTTGATATGCCGAATCTAACCGTGTATTTAGATTCTTAATTTTTGGTTCCGTTTTCAAATTGGTCTACATTAAGGTCCAAAGGGTCCAAAATTAAACTTAGTTTGATTTTAACAAAAATTGAATTCTTAGGGTTCTTTGATATGCTGAATCTAAACATGTATTTAGATTTTTGATTATGGGCCCAGTTTTCAAGTTGGTCCAAATCGGGGTCCAAAATTAAACTTTGTTTGATTTCAACAAAAATTGAATATATGGGGTTCTTTGATATGCTGAATCTAACCATGTATTTAGATTTTTGATTTTTGGGCCCCGTTATCGACTTTGTCCACATTGAGGTCAAAAGGGTCCAAAATTAAACTTTGTTTGATTTCATCAAAAATTGAATTCTAGGGGTTCTTTGATATGCTGAATCTAACCATGTATTTAGATTTTGGATATTGGACCATAATAGGTGAATGTCCAATTTAAAATTTTTAAGTTCTTAGACCACATTCATTCTGTGTCAGAAACCTATGCTGTGTCAAATATTTAATCACAATCCAAATGCAAAGCTGTATCAGGCTTGAATGTTGTGTCCATACTTGCCCCAACTGTTCAGGGTTCGACCTATGCGGTCGTATCAAGCTGCGCCCTGCGGAGCATTTATTAGTTATTGCTCTTGGATATATAAATATGTGATATGTGCAATGCTGGGGACATTGGAACTCTGTTCTTTTATACTCATTATATACATAGTTTTTGGACAAATTAGATATGAGCAACATTGCTCAAATTTAAATATTAATGACAAGATCTCAAAATGAGGCTATTTTGACAGCTATGTGATTGATTGATTGATTTGTGGTTGCTTGACAGTTTTTCACTAATTTCAAGAAGTTTGAAGCCCTTATGCAAACATGCAAGACAAAATTAAAAAATATAAATACTGATGTCTGACAGATTAATGTCATATGATCATCTGAAGTATGTTATTTGGTAGATTTATGAAACTTTTTTATTTTCAAACTCAAGGGGCCAAAAAAGTGACCTTATCATACCTTCTCCTTTGCCCATCATAATGTCTATATAAGGTAAATAGGAATCGGATTTTAGAAAATTGTCATTTCATGAAACTGCTTCTTATTATTCAGTCAGAATTTCTTTATTTTTTTCAACTACAACATGCATTCATTTAAAAAAATAGATACAAGTATTAAAGCTAATCTTACCTGAAGTATTTTAAAGAGAAAAGAACTTCATTATATCTTGATGAAAAATGTAATTTCTGGAACACCAAAATGTGTGTCATATTTTTTTTAGTTGACCAGTATAAAACAGTTACACCAGAGAAAGTTACACAGAGTAAAGCACCCCCTGGTGTCTCTTCAAATCCATTAGATAATTTAGATTGTAAGTATTATTGTGTTTTATAGGAATTATTATTTATTATTGAAGACTGATTGACAAACCTCTTCATAAGATCATTTTGAAGACAGTGTTGAACAACAGTTAACATGGTCAATAGTACATGACTACATATATTATAGTCTTGTTTTACAGGGGTTCCATAAACAACAAGTATAGGGTTCTTTGACATCACTTTATTACATATACAAGTAAACGTAGGAAAATAACCCTGCAATAATAATAGCATATAATTATAACATTTATCAGTATCACAGTCTTATACTAGAAAATATATATAAATATGTAAATACACATGTACTGGTGTAATTAACAATGTTACAAGATCGTATGTAATGTTCTATTCCATATACAATAAACTATACTCAGTATCAAGAATGCAGTGACATTCATGATATGCAATAATCTTGCAATTATATATTACTAAATACAAATACATGGATTCGGTAAGTCGTATCAAATAGTATACCATTATAATCAACCAAGCATATTATAAACAAGTTGAATGTATCGTACTTCATTAACGAGTGTCATTCCTAAAACTTTTACCATACAAAGGTTACTATTTATTCACTACAATTATTCTTAAGATCGTATGCACTACTGCAGTATTCAATGTCTATGATCTAACTAAAATTAACAGATGTATAATAACATTATAATATGACCCTTACCAATCTGTGGAACCAGGTAATATATCTAACATCTACAGTACAAACAGTATCATTATGGTAGTAAAAGGAACATCATAATCTATGTGTCCTGAAAATAATACACAACCATAAATACTAGGATCCAGGAAAATAATGAATCCGTAATTCAAAATACAATATATTAAAGACTGTTATAATAAAATCAAGCTATTACAAAAAATAACCATATATGGCAATATTAACGCATTTGTCAATGTGATGTCATAGATCCATAACTGCAAGGTCAAGGTCACTTTCAAAATCATTCGTAAATCTCCTTTTCTACATTCATTCTTCTGATTCAAATCATATATTCTCAGATTAATACAAAAAACTATCTTACTACTGTCATATCTAAGGTCTATGGGCATACTTACCTATAAACGGGCAGAATTGTATAGCATGCACTGCATACGCCTTTCATACACCACAAAGAACATAAAATCTACTAACCAGATATAAAGAATGTAATTTCCAATAACCACAGAGATTCTAAAGTATAGAAACATTAGTGAGTACTAACGTGCACTAAATATAATGTCTCTATATATAAGTTTCATCACTATGTAAAGTTTAACTAAGAAGTATATATTAAATATATATGTCTCCAAATTTTAAGAATGGACCACCATTACTAATTTTCCAAAATCTGAGGTGTGTCCAGAATGACCAATAAGAACTGACGATAAAGGTAAACAAGGTGTGACAATTAATTTACTAATGAGTTGGACAGGTAGATACAATTACAACTTTGCTCAATGAATTATGACTGACTAGAACTTTCATACAATTTAAAGTGTGAAGAGATAATAGACTATAAATCAAAAGATCAAATATTCAAAGAGAAGTAATAAAGTATAATATCTGGCATGTAATAAAATGTAAAATACTAATAAATGAAATATGTAAAAATATACTCTGTCACAATAGTTCTGTTCTGTTCTGTTCTGTTCAGGTATGTACCTCCGTTTATATTCGGAGCACTCCACTTATCTGATGAGCAATTTTTAAAAATATTTACTTAACTGAAAAAGCGGATATCTTTATATTTACAGTATGATAAAATATAATTCAAAAATAAAATTAGTTAAGGTGAATTGAATAAGGGTTTAAAATGTCTTTGGTGCGTTAAATAATGATAAAATGAAATTAAAAACCAATTGTTCAGAGAACAATTGAAGGGGTTTCCACTTCTTACGATTCATTTTGATATGAAAATATTAAAATACGGTTTAAAATGTCATATAAATTGTCAAATGATACCTAAATGAACGCTGATTCCCAAAATATATGGTTTCTAAACAATTTTGTTGAAATAAGGGAGATAATTTGTTACTTCCGGTCTGAAAAATGTCACTTCCGGTATTATTTGATATTTTACTTGGCACTGATTCCAAAAATATATGGTTCTATATACTTTTACATCATATAAGTACTAAACAAAGCTACTTCTGGTTTACACAAAGTCATTTCCGGTTGGATTTTCAAGGTCATGTAAATTGCAACCTAATGAAAAAAGTCCCATGGCTTTATCGTGTTTAAATATGAAGTTAAAGCAAAGGTCAAAATCTAGAATGTCAAATTCAACTTTGACCTTGAGCTCAATTTCAAGGTCATAAACCAAGGACCTTTAATCAAATTACCCTAGGTATTATACTTGGTAAATGAGTTATACCACCGTACATGTAATTTTAATATAAAAAGGGAGAAAACTCCTCTTTACAGTCAACATACTCTTGCAATTAAAATCTACGTGTTACGACATGTCGCAACTAACAATTTAGTAAAAATAATTTGTCTATATCTTATACAGTTTTTGAAAATAAGTGAAAATAAGCCAAAATCAAAATTTAGAATATGACCTTGACCTTTGATCTTGACTTAATTTTCTTTTTGGACCAAGGACCTCAAATCCAAAGACCCTAGGTCTCTATCACTTATGGTTTACCAGTTAGAAATGCATATCACTTATATCAAATGCAAAAGTGGGAATAACTCTCATATTGAGTCTCCGGATAGCTTTGGTTCAAATGGTCATACTAATCCTGAAGACGTAACGAGCAATTTGGTAAAATAAATTTGTCGTAAACTTTTACGGTTGTGAAGAAGTAGTGGCCACAAGAAAAACAGTGTTTGGGGAGATAACTCTTACAATGTAAAGTGTTCGGTTAAGCAGTGTTAGTTTCAAAAACGTATAAACTGTAAGATATCGTATTCCAAATATATAAGCGACATCTTATAAAACAAAAACACAACGCAAGAAAAAAATTAGGTGGAAGAAGAAAAAAAAAATAATAATCAGAACAAAATCAATAGGTCTTTCCACGGAAAAGTGGAAAGACCTAATAAAATAGATTGGCAATTGACGCTAGACCAAAATTGTAAACTCAAACACCTAATGGGGACCCACGCTACTTTTAGCGGGAAACAATCCTACCAGGTCATGTTAATTTATATCATTAAAAAAACGAATAAATCAAATAAAATTTGAGTTCAACATGAGTTTTTTGTAGTGCTCAATAAAAAATACAAATGTTTTTGGTGTAAGTGGAGTGCGACACTTTGAAAAATCAAAATATTGTTCTCTTCTGTGCAGTGAAGTCAGTCCGCCATTGCCTCGTTTTATTTTAACAATTATTTTTTTACATGCAAATAACAGACCTATTTGAGCTGTTGTCTTCATTTTGCTTCTATTCTCTGTTGTCTTGTCATCAGCTGTCAATTGTTAGCTAACTCATAACTTATAACACTGATTCGTTTATTTATATATGTTAACTCATACAAATACAAATACAAAATCTTTTATTGCCAATACTGATGCCCAATATTAAGCAGAACAATTAAGTTAAATTTCATACAACTGATTACATATTGATTACATTGATTATTATAACAATTATTTTTATACGCCCGTTTACGGGACGTATTATGGTATACTGTTGACCGTCCGTCCGTCCGTCTGTCCATCGTCAACATTAACTCAAAAAAGCTTTAACCAATATGCATGAAACTTTGGTGAATTGTTTATATCTACTGACGTGAGCTCCATTTCGTTTTTTATAAATTTCAGATTTACCATTTTCGAGTTTTGGGGTTTTATTCATTAAAAAAGGGGGGATTTTCCAGTTTTCCGACAATAACGCTTTCACCAACTTGCAAGAAATTTTGGTGAACTGTTTATATCTATTGACATGAGCTCCCTTTTGGATTTTTATAAATTTTAGATTTAACATTTCCGAGTTACTGGATTTTATTCATAAAAAAAGGGGGATTTTCCAGCTTTCGGACAATAATTAAAAAATGCTTTCAGCAGTTCTCATGAAACTTTGGTGAATTGTTTATATCTGTTGATGTAAGCTCCCTTTAGAATTTTATAAATTTTAGATTTTACATTTCTGAGTTATGGGGTTTTATTCATTAAAAAAAGGGGGGATTTTCCAGTTTTTGGACAATAACTCAAAAATGCTTTCAGCACTTCTCATGAAACTTTGGTGAATTATTTATAGCTATTGATGTAATCTCCCTATTGATTTTCATAAATTTCAAATATGACATTGAGAAGAAATTGAACTTTATTTGTTTATAGTCGGACAACAGATTTACTAAGTATTGCGCAACAGCACAGTGTATTGCACAACAGCAAGAAATCTTTAATTGAATATAAATTCAATTCATATAACCAATTTCAAGTTCTTTGACTACATTTATTCAGCCGTTGTCGTCATTTTGCTTCTATTCTCTATTGTCTTGTCATCAGCTGTCAATTGTTAGCTAACTCATAACTTATAACACTGATTCGTTTGTTTAAATATGTCAACTCATTCAAATACAAATACAAAATCTTTTATTGTCAATTATGACGCCCAATATTGAGCAGAACAATTAAGTTAAATTTCATACAAGTAATTACATATTGATTACATTGATTATTATAACAATTAAACAAAATCAAATCTTTCCGTACAGAACAATTTCTGCAGATATAATATAAAGTTGTTATATAATATCGTAATGATGGACAAACTACCGGTGACTAAACTGTATCTATATCTTACAGAGAATTAAATTTCTCTATATTAGTACACAATAATAAACTTACTTTTTTAATGATAATATTATCTTCAGATGACATTAACCATATTAATTTTGATTTATTTGGGAGGCTTTCAAAGTTTTTGTTAACCTTATTTAAGTAATTTATATAATCAGATCTTTTATTTTCTAAAACAGGACACTGAAGAAGAAAGTGAATTTCATCTTCAACTTCAGTGTTGAATAATTTACATATTCTATCCTCAACTCGAATCCCTGCATATCTGCCTCTTTCTATTTCCAATTTATGTGCACTGGCTCTAAACTTAGTGTGCAGTAGGTAGTCTTTCATCCTCATTTAAAATTAAGTATTTTTCAATACTCATAAGTATATATAGTACTTAAAACAAATCTTTTCCTTTGAACCATCAAGCCAAATAGGTGTGAAGTTTCAAACTTTATTCTAAAGTCCCTGTAGAATAACTATCATGGTTACTGTTGCCTTACATTTTGTAAATAAAATATCATTTTTGGTCATTTACTCTGCGATTATTTACAGTTTTGGGACCAAATGTTGGTGATTTGGTCCTACTATCTTTAAACCTCATTTCATGTATCAAGAACTATTTTAAAATTATAAAACCTTACAATATTTTAGCTTGGTTATTAATACATCAAATTTAACCCTAACTCTCAGAGTGGAAGGTATAATGGAATGACCACCTGTCCTTTCAAATGACCATAACTCTCCTAGTATTATTTAGCTTTTTTATAGAAGAATGATTTAAATATTTGGTCTGGAATTTTTTTTATGTTTATTTTTATGAATATCTTTTCAATATTTATTTCATCCAAGAAAAATATACCGGTAGTACAATGGTGAACAAGATAGAACAAAACACTTTATTCTGTACAATGGTGAACAAGATAGAACAAAACACCTTATTCAGTAAAATGGTGAACAAGATAGAACAAAACACCTTATTCAGTAAAATGGTGAACAAGATAGAACAAAACACCTTATTCAGTACAATGGTGAACAAGATAGAACAAAACACCTTATTCAGTACAATGGTGAACAAGATAGAATAATATAGTACAAAGGCGAACAAGATAGAACAATATAAAACAATGGTGAACAAGAGAGAACAATACATGTATAAAACAATGGTGAACAAGATAGAATAATATAGTACAATGGCGAACAAGATAGAACAATATAAAACAATGGTGAACAAGATAGAACAATATAAAACAATGGTAAACAAGATAGAACAATAAAGTACAATGGTGAACAAGATAGAATAATATAGTACAATGGCGAACAAGATAGAACAATATAGTACAATGGCAAACAAGATAGAAGAATATAGTACAATGGCAAACAAGATAGAACAAATCTCATTATTCAGTCAATTGTTGTGTTGAATACATAAGGAGATGTGGTATGATTGTCAATGAAACAAAGAGTCCAAATGAAGCAGATTTAAGCAATTATAGATCACTGTATGGCCTTCAACAATGAGTTAAATCCCATATTCTATAGTCAGCATTTAGTATATATATATTTGACATAATTCTTTATATACATTGTACATCTCTATCATCTGACAATCAGTAGAATATCACAAAGTTTATCCAAAGTTCAGGTTATTTTCAGGATTAAATACAGATAAAAATTCAGGTGAATTCGCGCAAACGTAATACCTGTCAAATTTTAAATTCGCACAAATTTAGGTCGACCTATACATGAATATTTTTTCTTCAGTTGATGATCCAGACTTCAAGGCCGGTATACAGTCACTATCTATGATTTTAAAAGTACCTCCGTATCAAGATCATTTAGAACAACTTAAGGTTGGTATGTTTGGTTTCGCATCAAAAAAGTTTTAACATTATACATTGCTATTTTGTTTACTTGCAAGTCTTATTATTTAATGGCAGACACTACACAATAGTATGATATTGTTGATATAAGTACAGATAGTAAGGTCTTCTGTCTGTGAGCTCCTTAAAGATGCTCAGAAACTTGTGTTGAGATATCTTTGATTCATTTTACTTTGAATATCTCGAAAAAAAAATTGTGGAATGTGTTTCTGTTTAAAATAATCAATGATTGTGATAAAGATGGAATTGATTAAGATAGAACCAGACATATTTGATGTTACAAAACCATAATATTGGGTTTTGTGAAGAATTGAGTACAATATTATACATAGAAAAGATTAGCTGCTTTTTGTTCCATGTTTGATTTAAAAAAAAATCCATTTTGTTTTAAAACAAATGGACAAAATTGTACTATATCAAAACTGCCATGATATTATTGATTTAATTTCAGGCTATTTGCTTAGTAGTCAAAGACCGGTTATCAAAAGAAGCATTAGAAAAAGCAGAAAAATATAAAGAGGTAATATTTTTTTTACAAAAATACGGCCAAATCCTCAATTTGTCCTGAAAAGTACCAGCATATGAATGTCCATTTCCAAACAGACTTGTTATCTAATACTGTGTAATATTTTTAGCAATTCCTGTTTTCCTTTTTAGCTCACCTGGTTTTAAAAGCAATGTGAGCTATTGCCATTACTGGCATCTGTCGTCATCCATTGTTTCAAACTTAAAAAAAATCTTCATCTCTGAAACCAAAATATCAATTTTAGCCAAACTTGAAAGGAATGATCCTTAGGGGATCTAGTAGAAAGTTTGTATCTTTAATTCTTGTGAGTCATCTAACAATTCCACCGTCTCTAAAACTGGAACAGAATGGTCAAATGCATTAATTGTCTTTATGTTTTAAAACATTGCACCAAAACTATCAGACTTAAACTGTAAAGAGCAAAAATTATCATCAATACAAGAGTTACAAAAATGTTCATATGATAAAAATAGATGGATGACCTTAAGAAGTTTTTGCTTATAAATGACAACTTTTGTCAATATTTTTCATGATTTTGGCAATTATCTTGAAAATTATAATAGATAGATGTATGAGGGGGGTAAAAGGTAGATAGTTTGGGGGCGGGATCAATGTACCATTATTTACACATCAGACCGTATTGGTTAACAGAAATTTGGATACGCAAAACCAGTTACTTCATATCTGAAAAAACAGGCAATATACGCCCTCAATCTTAGAATTCATTCATACATTTTTGTATTATTCAAAATTATTTGTCAATATGTGTTCTAAAAGGATCACCAGTCCTTCACCTTTCATTTGATACCTTAATTACTAAAATATATTACATAGTTTGATATTTACACCTATACGTAGGATGTACTACTTTCCAGTATGTTTTTTTTTGACCGGGCCTGATTTGGTGGTGTTACATCTTACAAAGTCTATCCAAATCATTTTTCAAAGAATTCCGCTCAAACTCGCGCTAGGGGCTGACTAAAACTTGCAGTGAGGTGAGAGTTTTTTTTATTAGCAATGTGTTGAAGGCCTCACTTTGACTTCAAAATGAAGAACAGCAATAAAAGGGCTTTCCTTTGCTTTGGATGTACTGATTTTGTGTCATGGATGGATACCCCATATCCTTTGTTTTTCTATAATAGAAGTTGTTGATCTTAAATTTAGATTTTGACAAGTTTTCTTCTTTTTATACGACCGCAAAATTTTTGCAGTCGTATATTGGTATCTCATCGTCGTCGTCGTCATCCAAAGACATTTGGTTTTCGGGATAATATCTTTAGTATTAGTAAATAGAAATCTATGAAATTTAAACATAAGGTTTATAACCACAAAAGGAAGCTTGGGATTGATTTTGGGGGTTATGGTCCCAACAGTTTAGGAATTAGAGGCCAAAAAAGGGGCCCAAATAAGCATTTTTCTTGTTTCATGACAATAACTTGTGGAACAGTGTATGGATCTTTCTGAAATTATACCACAAGTTTCCATATCACAGAGGGATGGTTAAGATTGGCTTTGGGGGGTTATGGCTCAAACTGTTTAGGAATTAGGGGCAAAAAAGTGAGAAAAAACAATGGTGTCCTGGTTAATGGACAATTACTTAAGTACAAGTTACAGTGTGAGGGAGGTAATTCAAACACAACTTTGAATTACCTCCCTTATACTGCTTTTAAATTATGTATTTAAAGAAATGTTGTATTGTCTTGAGGTGATTAGCTGTCAATTCATTTTTAGAAGTTACTATTTTAATAATTTTAAAAATGCTGATTAAGGTAAATTGATTTTAGCTATGATTATGTATTTCATTTTCTATTTTAAGACTTTTATTATGGTTGCAAACTCCATTGGAAATTTGAATTGAGATTATGTCCATGTGTCCATGTCTTGAGGGAAATTTTTTTTTTTGGGGGGTGGGGGGGAGGTCAATTCACAAAAGCAAAAAATTGAATATAAATTCAAATCATATAACCAATTCTAAGTTCTTTGAATACAATTATTCTGTGTCAGAAACCTATTATGTGTCAAATTCAGACCTATATCAAGCGCGAATATTGTGTCCATTTTTGCCCCAACTGTTCAGGGTTGGACTTCTGCGGTCGTATCCAGCTGCACTCAGTGAAGCAATTTATTCCCAACTATCTCAAAAACTATTATAATAGGTAGATTCGATTCGCTCCTGTATGTAACAAGGTATTTGATTTTAACGAAAGAAACCTCTGTATTACTGAAAAATTATTACACCAGGGTTTTCGATATCACAAACTAGTCAAAACATTTACTAAATTTTATCATCAGTACAAGGATATCATTCGTAAATATAAATCAACATGCAGACATCTTATACGTTCAAGTATTTCACATCCAATATTTTATGGTAATATTCTTTACAAAGCACAAAAATGTCAACATTCACCTCAAAAGCTCTCTTGTTGTGCATTGTTATAAAATGATCTTGAATTCAATATGAAATAAATGCTATAGCTTTACTTGTCCTTTCACACGCCCCACATTATTAGACCACTTGGCAGAAGCCAATTGAAGGAACATATATTCTATTATGAAATTATGCATCTTCTTATTTTATTTTTAATCACAGATACTTCCCATGGCATAAAGTTTCTTTTTAAATGTAATTAAGAGCATGCCATACATATTACTGTAATACAAAATTCTTCCTAGCTAAACCAAATAAAAACCAAACAACCTATCATAGGCACTGCAAGACAACAAATTACTTATACATATATTAATTATACCCCATGCAACAACGTTGCATAGGGTATAATGTTTTCCACCCATCTGTCCCTCCATAAGTCCTTCTGTCAGTCTTTCAGTCCTGTTCTTGTCATCACAACTCCTCTGAAACCACACAACAAAATTTCATGAAACTTTGTAGATAATAAGGACATACTATGTAGATGTGAATATCGACAGGAAATAATGATTCAATTTTTATACGCCCGTTTACGGGACGTATAATGGTATACCTCTGTCCGTCCGTCCGTCTGTCCGTCGTCAACATGTCGGACATTAACTCAAAAACACTTTAACCAATTTGCATAAAACTTTGGTGAATTGTTTATATCTATTGACGTGAGCTCCCTTTCGTTTTTTATAAATTTTAGATTTTACGTTTCCGAGTTATGGGGTTTTAATCATTAAACTAGAGGCTCTCAAGAGCCTGTGTCGCTCACCTGATTCTACTTTGGTTTTGGAAATCATGTTAAAATAGATTAAAATCATAACAGATACCCTAATAATGAGTGAGGCCAAATTTAATTTAATATTGGCTCTGTAATTTAATAAAAAATCCTGGTGGCCATCTTGAACAGTAAATCAGCAACAAAGTAGCAACACTTCATCAGCACCTCATAAGAAACATTTATGCCATGTTTGGTTTCATTCCATTCAGTGCACCTCTAGAAAAAGCATTTTGATGTATTTCCAATAGGGTCTTGTGTTAAAGGAAGTCCTCCCGCTGGCGGCCATCGTGGATGATGGATCAGCTTCAAAGTAACAACACTTAGTCAGCACCTCATAAGAAACATTCATGCTATGTTTGGTTTCAATCCATTTAGTTGTTCTCTAAAAGAAGACATTTATATGTATTGTCCATAGGGTCCTTTGTTAAACACTGTCCCCAGCTGGTGGCCATCTTGGATGATGGATGGGCTTCAAAGTAACAACACTTGGTCAGCACTTCATAAGGAACATTCATGCCATGTTTGGTTTCATTCCATTCAGTGGTTCTCTAAAAGAAGACATTCTTATGTATTTCCCATGGGGTCCTATGTTAAACTAAGTCCCCTGCTGGCGGCCATCTTGGATGATGGATCGGCTTCAAAGTAACAACACTTGGTCAGCACGTCATAAGGAACATTCATGCCATGTTTGGTTTCATTCCATTCAGTGGTTCTCTAAAAGAAGACATTTGTATGTATTTCCCATAGGGTCCTATGTTGAACTAAGTCCCCCGCTGGCGTCCATCTTGGATGATGGATCGGCTTCAAAGTAACAACACTTGGTCAGCACCTCATAAGGAACATTCATCCCATGTTTGGTTTCGTTCCATTCAGTGGTTCTCAAAAAGAAGACATTTGTAAATATTTCCCATAGGGTCCTATGTTAAACTAAGTCCCAAGCTGGCGGCCATCTTGGATGATGGATTGGCTTCAAAGTAATAACACTTGGTCAGCACCTCATAAGGAACATTCATGCCATGTTTGGTTTCATTCCATTCAGTGGTTCTCTAAAAGAAGACATTTGTATGTATTTCCCATAGGGTCCTATGTTAAACTAAGTCCCCCACTGGCGGCCATCTTGGATGATGGATCGGCTTCAAAGTAACAACACTTGGTCAGCACCTCATAAGGAACATTCATGCCATGTTTGGTTTCATTCCATTCAGTGGTTTCCTAAAAGAAGACATTTGTATGTATTTTCCATAGGGTCCTATGTTAAACTAAGTCCCCCGCTGGCAGCCATCTTGGATGATGGATCGGCTTCAAAGTAACAACACTTGGTCAGCACCTCATAAGGAACATTCATCCCATGTTTGGTTTCATTCCATTCAGTGGTTCTCTAAAAGAGGACATTTGTATGTATTTCCCATAGGGTCCTATGTTAAACTAAGTCCCCAGCAGGCAGCCATCTTGGATGATGGATCGGCTTCAAAGTAACAACACTTGGTCAGCACCTCATAAGGAACATTAAGGAACATTCATGCCATGTTTGGTTTCATTCCATTCGGTTGTTCTCTAAAAGAAGACATTTGTATGTATTTCCCATAGGATCTTATGTTTAACTAAGTCCCCCCTGGCGGCCATCTTGGATGATGGATTGGCTTCAAAGTAACAACACTTGGTAAACACCTCATAAGGAACATTCATGCCATGTTTGGTTTCATTCCATTCAGTGGTTTCCTAAAAGAAGACATTTGTATGTATTTTCCATAAGGTCCTATGTTAAACTAAGTCCCCCGCTGGCGGCAATCTTGGATGATGGATCGGCTTCAAAGTAACAACACTTGGTCAGCACCTCATAAGGAACACTCATGCCATGTTTGGTTTCATTCCATTCAGTGGTTCTCTAAAAGAAGACATTTGTATGTATTTCCCATAGGGTCCTATGTTAAACTAAGTCCCCCACTGGCGGCCATCTTGGATGATGGATCGGTTTCAAAGTAACAACACTTGGTCAGCACCTCATAAGGAACATTCATGCCATGTTTGGTTTCATTCCATTCAGTGGTTTTCTAAAAGAAGACATTTGTATGTATTTCCCATAGGGTCCAATGTTAAAATAAGTCCCCCGCTGGCAGCCATCTTGGATGATGGATCGGCTTCAAAGTAACAACATTTGGTCAGCACCTCATAAGGAACATTCATGCCATGTTTGGTTTCATTCCATTCAGTGGTTCTCTAAAAGAAGACATTTGTATGTATTTCCCATAGGATCTTATGTTTAACTAAGTCCCCCCTGGCAGCCATCTTGGATGATGGATCGGCTTCAAAGTAACAACACTTGGTTAGCACCTCATAAGGAACATTCATGCCATGTTTGGTTTCATTCCATTCATTCCATTCAGTGGTTCTCTAAAAGAAGACATTTGTATGTATTTCCCATAGGGTCCTATGTTAAACTAAGTCACCCGCTGGCGGCCATCTTGGATGATGGATCGGCTTCAAAGTAACAACACTTGGTCAGCCTCATAAGGAACATTCATGCTATGTTTGGTTCCATTCCATTCAGTGGTTCTCTAGAAGAAGTTCAAAATGTAAAAAGTTAACGAAGACGACGACGGACAACGACGGAAGAATGACGCCAAGTGATGAGAAAAGCTCACTTGGCCCTTCGGGCCAGGTGAGCTAAAAAGGGGGGATTTTCCAGTTTTCGGACAATAACTCAAGAATGCTTTCAGCAGTTTTTTTATGAAACTTTGGTGAATTGTTAATATCTATTGATGTAACCTCCTTTTAGAATTTTATAAATTTTACATTTTAAATTTCTGAGTTATTGGGTTTTATTCATTAAAAAAGGGGGGATTTTCCAGTTTTCGGACAATAACTCAAAAATGCTGTCAGCAATTCTCATGAAACTTTGGTGAATTGTTTATTTCTATTGATGTAAGCTCCCTTTTGATTTTCATAAATTTCTAATATGACATTTAGAATTAATTGAACTTATTTGTTTATAGTCTGACAACAGATTTACTAAGTATTGCGCAACAGCACAGTGTTTTGCACAACAGCAAGAAATCTTTAATTGAATATAAATTCAATTCATATAACCAATTTCAAATTCTTTGACCTCATTTATTCAGAAACCTATAATACATGTATGTCAAATATTTAATTACAATCCAAATTCAGACCTGTATCAAACTTGAATATTGTGTCCATTTTTGCCCCAACTGTTCAGGGTTGGACCTCTGCGGGCGTATCCAGCTGCGCTCAGCGAAGCAGTTTATTTTTCTTGGAGTTATCAGCCTTTTGAATTTAGAATTTTTCCTATAATATACTACTGCAAAAGTTTGTCATCATAAATCCTCTGAAACCAAACAACAGAATTTCATGAAACTTTGTAAATAATAAGTACATACTATGTAGATGTGCATATTGACAGGAAATTATGATTCATTGTTTTTTCTAGGAGTTATGCCTATTGAATTATAATTTTGCCCTAGATATTCTATTGCAACAATTTGTCAGTGCAACTCCTCTGAAACCATACAACAGATATTCTATTGCAACAGTTTGTCAGTGCAACTTCTCTGAAACCATACAACAGAATTTCATGAAACTTTGTAGTTAATAATGACATAATATGTAGATCTGTATATCCACAAGAAATTTTAATCAGTTGACTTTTGTAAGAGTTATGATTCCTTGAACTAAGGAATCTGGTGAGACTTTGTTTGCCCAGTGACAATGTGGGGGCATGGGGTATTTGAGCATGCTCAAACAAGTTTCTTTCGTTTATTTCTAAAAATATTTTTGAGGTTTGATTCCCAATGTCAAACAGAGCTTTCTTCTCTAGAAATTAAGTTTTTAACATAGGCATTATTAGTTACATAATTTGATTAACTTCTGTTTGTATACAACAATTACTATGGTTTAAATGATGTTAATTGCTTTGATGATCTACTGCTCCTAAAAGATCCCCTCCATGAGTTAATAATTTGCTTTGAGGATCTACTGCTCCTTAAAGATCCCCTCCATGAGTTAATAATTTGCTTTGAGGATCTACTGCTCCTTAAAGATCCCCTCCATGAGTTAATAATTTGCTTTGATGATCTACTGCTCCTAAAAGATCCCCTCCATGAGTTAATAATTTGCTTTGAGGATCTACTGCTCCTTAAAGATCCCCTCCATGAGCTAATAATTTGCTTTGAGGATCTACTGCTCCTTAAAGATCCCCTCCATGAGTTAATAATTTGCTTTGAGGATCTACTGCTCCTTAAAGATCCCCTCCATGAGTTAATAATTTGTAATTTGCTTTGAGGATCTACTGCTCCTTAAAGATCCCCTCCATGAGTTAATAATTTGCTTTGAGGATCTACTGCTCCTTAAAGATCCCCTCCATGAGTTAATAATTTGCTTTGAGGATCTACTGCTCCTTAAAGATCCCCTCCATGAGTTAATAATTTGTAATTTGCTTTGAGGATCTACTGCTCCTTAAAGATCCCCTCCATGAGTTAATAATTTGCTTTGAGGATCTACTGCTCCTTAAAGATCCCCTCCATGAGTTAATAATTTGCTTTGAGGATCTACTGCTCCTTAAAGATCCCCTTGATGGATTATTAATGTCCAATATAATTCATAAAGTCACAAAAAACCTTGAATTAATATATATATATATATAAATTTATTGCAGGATAATATAGAACATCTTGAATTAGAAAAAACATCATTAGGTTTTGATACAGGAGGTATGTATTACACAAATATTAAATCTACAGATAGTAACATTGTTTGATTTTAAACATATTTTATTCATTAAGATATGAAAAGGATTGAGCAACAGGCACAGCCTATAAAAGCTCTCTCCATATTATATGTACAAGGTATAATTCAATTATAACAACTGTATTTAAAATAATGTAATATAGTGGAACATGCATGCTACTTATGAGCACACACGAGCAAATATATGTTTACAGTGTTACTAATTGTAAAGTATATTTAAGTATATAGGCAATTACTCATCATTTATTCAAGTACCTTGAAACATGCAAATATCCTTAATAAGTCATTAGAAATATATATGTATGGCTTGAAAGAGACACTAAGCTTACTTAGTGGAATAAATGAATTAATGTTGAAGTGGAGGAGAAAAAAAATAAACAATAAAACTAAATAAAACAAAAATTTAGTAAATTTCAAACAAAACATTGAGTGTCACTGATATATTTCTGAACAGATTTAAAAATAGCAATATTCATATCATATGAAAATAATCTGTTTCCAAAAAGTAATAACTCAATATTTATGTCAACATTATCATCAATGGAGTAAATGGAATCAAGTAGGATCTGTCTTACATCATTGTACTTAGGGCAAATAAAAAAGAAATGTTGGTTATCCTCAACAGGGTGATTACAGTTTGCACAAAAAGTGTTCTCGATTAAGAACTGATTAAACAAATGAGATTTTAGGTTGCTAGCATTATTTCTGAGTTGACAATGACTTATATTAAGTTTCCTTATCCCATAGTTGAAAGGTTTAAATATATCATCAGTCCTATAAAACTTGTCCAGTCCACTTCTAAATATACTCAAACTTGGGGATTTTTGTAAACTCAAGTTATTTATGTTCTAAAGTTAGAGTACAATTTTGTCAATACTTCATGTAGCACTGGAGTGTTGACATAGAATATATATGAAAAGAAAAAAAATATATGAATACTGGTTGTTGATTGATAAAAAAGAAAGATTTGAAAAATTTTATTAACTTTTCATCAAGTTAAAACTTATATTGGGGTCATATTGAACCATATTCATAAAGCAAGTTGACTTGCAGAAAGATAGATCTCATAGATAAAATGAGACATTATTAGGGAAGCTAGACTACTGAATCTAAAAATATTTCTAATGCCTCAAATATTGAATTATAATATTAATCTTATACACAAGTTAACCTATACTAAAGTTAACCTAAGAAAGGCGAACAACAAGTGAGAAAAACTTATAATGTTTGAAATGCAATATGTTATGTGTAAACAAAAATGTCAGAAAAGTCACATTAAAGGATCACCGCAGTAACTAGAAGCAACAAAATTTCTTTAAAACCAGATATAAGTTTCTGACAACCTACAATTCTGTTAGTTTTTTGTTGGTATAAAAATTTAACAATATAAAAATTAACTTAAAATTGTTAATTGTGTATGCTTGGTTTTTAATTTATTTTATTTTTTCAGATTATATAATCAATGAAGCTGCAAAGATTTTACGTTTAATTCATATAAGAGATTTACGAGATCTACAGAACCAAATAAACCAGGCTATTGTAGCTGTGCAAGCTTTGATAGCTAATCCTAAAACAGACAGTAGACTTGGCAAAGTTGGCAGAATGTAAATTCCATCCAAGTATTGATAATGACACAAATAAATAAGTGCTATTTAACTTGTACTTCAGTTAGAAGAACAAGAACATTGATTTTTTTGCTTTAATGAAATGTTACAGACACAAAAAACTGTATTGAATATAGATTACTCAACATTAACACTGTTCAGTTGTATGGGCATAAATAACTTTATGATGACTTTTTATGTCTACAACCAAAAGTTTAAAGTGATAGAGTAAATTGAGGGGTATCAAATTCATCTGCTGAATAGATGTTTCCTAAATAAGCTCCGAGATCATTATTTTTGCTATCCATTAGTTATACTACATGTACACAACAAATGTTTAGGTCCCATACAGGACACTGTCCACTTCAAATTGATTAACTGGTCATGGCAATGTGAACCCCTCCAAAAAGACAAACAAGTAGGTACACTAAACATCAGAGGTAGATTTAGGTGTAGAAACATGAAACACATTTTTTCTAGAGGTTATTGATGTGTAAACTGGCCCATTAACTTACAAACTGAATGGAAGTCCAAAGGACTTTTATGTAAAGTTTGTTAGTCAGTGACCCAGTTATGGATAAACCAATAACCTCTAGAAAATTTGTGTTAATGTTGATCGGGTGTCTTTTTCTGAGCATCCCTTCTGGGCATCTTGCAAAAACACTTTTTGGGTTTAAAAATATTTTACCAAGTATCATTCAACATACAACAGAAAAATCTTAAACTTGAAATTTTAGGATTAAACTATCAAAAAATTAAGTGTCGTTAAGTGTATTTCAGAAAAATCCTTTTAAATCAAGGGCAGATAATTATATTGAATTTGATAGGACAATTTGTTTTTTTGTGACCCTCTATTTTAATTTAATATTTCGGAGGTATTTATGAAAAGCAATTCTTTAATTGAATTTTAACCAATTGTATCATTTAATGTTTCCTCAATAAGGAAAATTAAAATAAGTTTCCCCTATATAACCCATATAAAATAAATGGAATATTGTTAATTTCAATGGATTTTAGCAAAAAAACAAGGTCCTTGACTCCCAGGTTTATTTTGAAATGTGAAAGTACACTGACCTAGAAGTCTTTTACAAAATTTAAGAAAAATCTATTGTCGAACATTTAGACACCCCAGCTACATTAAATACTTATAATTCTCAAAACACTTCCGACAAAACTATGCAAGGTGAACACCTCCAAAAAACACATGAATAGGATTTTTCAAAACCATGGGCATTATTCCTGCTAAATTGGCCTTCTTTTACTTTAGTGTACTATGTACTTTTGGTTAGGTTTTGTTTTATTTTAGGGTTCAGGATAATGTAATGGCTATAAATGGAGTCTGGGTTAGTTTAGTATAGCTCTATATTGGTATAGACCCCTTAAGTAAAAGAAGGCCACTAAATGGACACTACTAGTTTCCCCAAAGACTTAGTATAACATGTTGATATTTATGGGGTTTTAAGAAAACAGTATAGTTTAGGTTTAATTTTTTACAACATGTATTTGTTTTTGTTGTTACACATGTACTTAAATTTAAATGTCTAAACATGTCCATAGTAGTGCCAAATAAAACTTGTCTGATAATTATCTGGTACATATTTATTTCACAAGAGTATATGCAGAATCTACTTAGTAGTATTGATGTACTTCCTGACAGAAATCATTTATTTTAAGGTCCTGTTCAGATTGTCATAGTAATTTTATATGTTTGGTTGTGTTAGTCGTTTTCAAGTCAGGAATATGACAGTTGTTTTTTGTTTGTTTGATGTGTTTGAGCTTTTGATTTTGCCATTTGATAAGGGACTTTCTGTTTTGAATTTTCTTTGGAGTTTGGTATTTTTGTTATTTTACTTTTTTCATTATAAAATTAAAGGGGCATTAGCTCAATTCATGTTCACTGATATGACCAAAATTCTCATATTTCATTTATAACATACTAAAACTGTGATTCAAATGAGTTGAGTTATTGACTTGCAAGCCATTAATACATCAGTGATGTTTTTGAGGTTATTTTGATGAAATTGACTTTTATCATGTCAAAGAAGCAGACTATTGAATGGTTATGTTATATTAGTAACAGTTTTTTTCTAGAGGTGTCAGCTGGTCAATTAACTCACAAACTGGATTTGGACTATTTTAGTAAAGTTTGTGAGTCAGCAGCCCAGTTTATAAACCAAAACCTCTTGAAAAATGTGTTAAATCCTTACAATTCTCAACCTGAACATTTGTTCTTTTTATACGCCCGTTTACGGGACGCATTATGGTATACCGTTGACCGTCTGTCCGTCTGTCTGTCTGTCTGTCCGTCCGTCCGTCGTCAACATGTCGGACATTAACTCAAAAACGCTTTAACCAATATGCATGAAACTTTGGTGAATTGTTTATATCTATTGACACGAGCTCCCTTTCGTTTTTTATAAGTTTCAGATTTACCGTTTCCGAGTTTTGGGGTTTTATTCATTAAATTTGGATTTTCCAGTTTGTGGACAATAACTCAAAAACAATTTCACCAATTTGCAAGAAACTTTGGTGAATTGTTTATTTCTATCGACATGAGCTCCCTTTTGATTTTTATAAATTTTAGACCATACGTTTCCGATTTATGGGGTTTTATTCATTACAAAAAGGAGGATTTTCCAGTTTTCGGCCAATAACTCAAAAATGCTTTCAGCATTTTTTCTGAAACTTTGGTGAATTGTTTATATCTATTCAGTATTGATTGATGTAAGCTCCCTTTAGAATTTTATAAATTTTACATTTTACATTTCCGAGTTATGGGGTTTTATTCATTAAAATAGAGGGGATTTTCCAGTTTTAGGACAATAACTCAAAAACAATTTCACCAATTTGCAAGAAACTTTGGTGAATTGTTTATTTCTATCGACATGAGCTCCCTTTAGATTTTTTTTAAATTTTAGACTATACGTTTTCGATTTATGGGCTTTTATTCATTACAAAAAGGGGGATTTTCCAGTTTTCAGACAAAAACTCAAAAATGCTTTCAACATTTTTTATGAAACTTTGGTAAATTATTTATATCTATTGTTGTAAGCTCCCTTTTGATTTTTATAAATTTAAGATTTTACGTTTCTGAGTTATAAGATTTTATTCATAAAAAAAGGGTTGTTTTTCAAGTTTTTGGACAATATCCTTAAAGTGCTTGGAGCAGTTTTCATTAAACTTTGATGACTGGTTTATATCTATTAAGATAACCTCCCTTTAATTTTTTATAAATTTCTGATATAACATTGTTTCTTTCAATTTTGACTTTCTTAGAACCCCAGGATTCAATTCTCACATGAATATATCACAGTGAAATCCACATAGTGTTTACATATATAGGTTACAAAAACAGTTTCTTCAACATGGTCTATTGAAGTGAAATCCAAGGGGAAAAATCATAATGGACCAATCACATTCCAGAGTTCTTGAAAAGTGGTGGTCCGAAGGCAAAGGCAAAATATGGCAAAGGAACAACACAATTTTGGTATTTTGGAGTAGAAATAATTGTGAGGACCATCAGATTTTCTTCAAGGACCACTAGGGAAAAAAAGATTTCAAGTTTTTGAAGATATGCAAACCATATAAGAATTATTGTATGCAAACCATATAAGAATTATTGTAGGTATTCTACTCGATCTTAAAATAAAATCATTACCTTTTGTATTTCGATTATTTCATTTAAAAATATCAGAATGTATGGTAACAGAATTTTTCATTTCAATCAGGTACCGGGGTAAATAAAATGTAAGAAATATTTATGGAAAGCTTTTTTTTACCAATTTTACCATATACAAAATGTATATAAAGTTTCATGTACATGTATGCATATGATTTTAAAAGTAAATTTAACTAAATTAGGATAGGATAAAATTTATATATGGTAAAATATAAACAGAGAGAGCCCTGGGAATACACCTATGTTTTAATTACAGAATCACAACCAGTACATTAAATATGTTGCAGTGATGGCACAATGTTAATGTTGTTGACCTAAAATCTGTAAATGTAAAAAAAAAATTCAAATTCAAATATAAAATGGTGGAGGGTGAACAATTATTGTTTTGCACTAGAAACAGTGGTTGAATTATTATTTTTTTTTCTCTCATCAGTTTTATGCTAACATAACTTTTCTTTCTTGATGATTTGCTATAATAAATTGTGTTCTTTCTATGAGAGGCATGGTTGCCTTTTTAAATGCCTGTCTAAGATGGGAAGTATTATGGTATATTGTGTCTGTCTGTCCGTGGTCAACACTATGGACAATAACTCAAAAACACTCACCAATTTTCATGAAACTTTGGTGAATTGTTTATATCTATTGACGTAAGCTCCCTTTCGATTTTTTTAAATTTTACATTTTACCTTTCCAAGTTATGGGATTTTAATCATAAAAAATTAGGGATTTCAGTTTTCTGACTAAATGCTTTGAGCAATTTTCATGGAACTTTGGTGAATTGTCTATTTATATTGACATAAGTTCCCTTTTGATTATTTTTTAAATTTCTGATTTTACGTTTTGGAGTAATGGGACTTTATTCATAAAAAAGGGGTGATTTTCCAGTTTTCAGACAATAACTCAAAAACCCTATAAGCATTTTTCATGAAACTCTGGTGAGTTGTTCAAAATGTATATCTATTGAAATAAGCTCCCTTTTGTTTTTTATAAATTTCTATAGCGGAGTTATGGAACTTTATTCATTGAAAAAATCGATGAAATTCACAGTATTTCTAGTTGATCATATAAATTCATTAGTGATGTCACAATAACAAAAACAGAAGAATTGAATTTGATCAATGAAAGTCTGACAACAATCAAACCAAAAGTGATTTTCAAAAAAATTAACTTCCATAGTTGGAGAAAATATAAATAGGCCTAGAAATAGAGAATGACTATTATAACATCTCCTACTTTATACAGATTCTAATAGTTCACTATAGGTTATGAGTATTGATTATTACCTGTTATTTTACACATCTTTTTCCTTTGGTATTTATGTTTAGGATAGTTGTCTTATTTTACAATTGTTCCTTTATTTTATACAAATGTACTCATTATGGTCAACTGTTAATGTAAACTACGTACTCATTATGGTCAACTGTTAATGTAAACTACGTACTCATTATGGTCAACTGTTAATGTAAACTACGTACTCATTATGGTCAACTGTTAATGTAAACTATTTGTCATAGGTTGAATCCGTTTATGCAATAAATGGTTCAAAAAGGGAAATATTTGATTTTAATTTCTTCCTATTAAAACCTGAATGATATCAAAATTGTATAAAGTTGAACCTGAAACGTTGAAAACTTTATATATTATTGTCTATATCTTTGTCGCCTAACCTAGCCCCTGACCTCTTTCCCATGCTTCAATTATCACATTTATTAGGTAGATCTATTCCCCAGTAATTATGTTCAATAGGTCAATTTGGTATATTGATTAACTGTAACAAGTATGTGTCTATCTGACATATTCATATACAAATGAAAATTGTATGTCATCTGTTGCAAAAAGGGTTAGTACAACCTGACAGATCTGGTATGTCCCATGCCTGTGGACTGTCAGCATCAGAAGGTTCCATCAACTACCTGACACATCTCGTATGTCCCATACCTGTGGACTGTCAGCATCAGATGGTTCCATCCACAACCTGAAAGATCTCGTATGTCCCATGCCTGTGGACTGTCAGCATCAGATGGTTCCATCCACTACCTGACACATCTCGTATGTCCCATGCTTGTGGACTGTCAGCATTAAATGGTTCCATCCACTACCTGATACATCTCGTATGTCCCATGCTTGTGGACTGTCAGCATCAGATGGTTCCATCCACTACCTGACACATCTCGTATGTCCCATGATTGTGGACTGTCAGCATCAGATGGTTCCATCCACAACCTGACACATCTCGTATGTCCAATGCTTGTGGACTGTCAGCATCAGATGGTTCCATCCACAACCTGACACATCTCGTATGTCCCATGCTTGTGGACTGTCAGCATCAGATGGTTCCATCCACTACTTGACACATCTCATATGTCCCATGCCTGTAGACTGTTAGCATCAGATGGTTCCATCCACTACCTGACACATCTTATATGTCCAATACTTGTGGACTCTCAATATCAGATGATTCCATCCACAAAGTAGCCAGTGTATTGGTACTGGTATGATATAAATGATAAATTATTAGTGTAAGTTTTCAGTTCTTCACATATTATATAATTCTACTATTACTTATTTGTAGATATCGTATTGCCTGGGAACAGTATATCTAATCAATATATATGTTCCTGGTATTGCTTATCGTTTTTGCTATAAACAGTTTCTGTCTATCCGTTTCAGTTTTCGATCAAAAACAAGAAATACTTTAAACTAAATCGTCATTAAAGGGCAATAACTCCTATGAGGAATCGTCCAATGCTTTCTTGTATTGCTGATCATTTTGCTTTTTTTCAATTTCTCCCTTAAAAATTATAGTTTATGAGATAATAAGCAAAACAACGAAAATTACTTTAAAATGGCATTTAAGGGCAATGAATCTTGTAGGGAATTATCTGATAATTTTGATCAAAATAGGAAGTATGTACGTCCTGAGCATTTTTGGCTCTGTCAGATTTTCTCTATCTATTATTAGATATAAGACAATAAATTCATTTTACCCTTGTTCTATTTTTAGCTATGGAGGTCATGTTTGTTGATGGACAGGAATCAAAATAAAAAACACAAATTTTAAACTAGATACCATAAGTTTGGTGTCAGACCACCAATTCAAAATCTCTTATCTATTCAACCAAATTTTGCAATTTTCACAGCTTTCTAAATACTTTACCTTAACTTTGACTTCACATGAACCAGGTATATCCTGAATTGTACATGTATCACCTTTCTACGTGCCAATTTTCGACCAATGTTTAAAGTCTTGTAGCGAAATACTACAGCTCGGAAGCAAAATACTACTAAAATTAACCCCTGGTTTTCTGTAAATCTTAAATAAGTATACTATAGAGCACATTAATCCTCAATTTTTAATGCAAACTCAAAGACAAGTAAATTTTGGCTCAAAATGGTCTAAATATATTTCTCTTTCACCAAAAGGTTCATTTTTGCAAATTTGTTTGTTAGTTTAAGTAAACAATGACATCAACAGCACTATTTTTTGTCAGGGAAGGGCTACTTTTAAATACATTCTAAATTGAAGTGGGTGAATTGGTGGTCTGACACCTAAGGATCGTTTACTTACAATTTGGTGGAACTTGGTCTGGAAGATCCAAAGGGAACGTTATGTCGACGACGGACACTCTTTTTGCAATTTTCGCGTTATGTATCAACAACGACGAACTGACGCGAAATGGTCGCAATTAGCCACCATATAATACAATGTTCTTCAAAGATCTGACCCATTGTTATATTAGGCCCAAGTCTAAAGAATCCGACTTTTTTTCGTTATATTCACAGAACCGAGAGAATTATACGCCTATATATATATCTGGGTTATGTATGGTAGGTAAAATAATGACCAACAATGCTATATTCATATATTCGTCTGTTCGCCCTTCCGTTTCCTAAAATGTTTCGCACTTTCCTCCTGAACTACAAATCAGAATTTTCTGATATTTGCCATCAAGCTTCATGTGAACATGCTATACTGTGTGAAGCATTTTCTGATTTCAGATTCTTCGCTCATCCGCTTCCTGTATGCCAAATACAGTTTTACCTATATATTAGCGTCCTAGGGTAGTATATGTATGTGGTATCAAGCTTCATTCAAGTAAGCATGCTTATTCTGTATGATGAATTTTCCGCTTCACCGATTATGAACTCCTTGTTAGCCATGTACTTCTATTTCTTTATACACATGATGGCCATTTATAAAATGTAGGCAACGTTATTCTCCAGAACTTTCTTTAAAGTCTCATTTAACACCGGTATACTACTGTTGCCTTTATTTAACGACATTCATGTTAGCACCGTGTGATGCATTTTCAGATTCGTTGCTCATTCACAACCTGTCAGTTACCGAATACTATACATATTTTTTACACATTATGGCCATATAGTCTTATATTCCTGATGTTATTCAGTGTTATTTAGTGTTTCATGTTTTCATTTCAATAATAAAATATTTTTATTCTTTTTATTATGATTTTGAAAAGTCCCATGGCATGATATGAAATGCATTTTTAGAGAATAAAACATTAGAAAAAATCACAATTACATTACTAAATTATTTCAAGCTAAACAAGAAAATAAACATAATGGACAACCCAGCCCCACCCCCTTTACAAAAAAAAAGCATAGAAACGCCTCAATTGTAGAAGTTGTTTTATTTCATACGCCTTCTGTTCTGTGGATTGACAAAACGTCGGGTCGTTTTTGTAGCCTTGAATTCTTGCTCACTCGCGAAGAAACAGTGATCCAAGGCTATCGTTTTTGTAGTAACCAAAATGGCCTCACTCTTTCACCAGAGGGGAGAATGGCCGAACATCAGTATATCGACGAAAAACACATCTGTCGAAAGTATCAATTTCTTTTCAATTGTAACTTCTTGACAATCAGCTTTAAGAAATCATTTAAAACTGTCCCAAAAAACTGACTGACAGTTTCCGATTAATAGGAAGATAGCTTTAATGATCACTGTTCATCACATCTGGTTTTACGCACGCGGTCGTTCGCACATTTATTATCTTCAACCAATCAGATTCGAGATCTTGTCAAAATTACTTACTGATAAGTTATTTTCTAGTGGAGAAGATCTTGAATGTGTGTCAGATTAAGATAATGTCTATGTAGTTATTTAACACCGGATTAACTTAATTCTAGTGCCTCTCTTTTTAAAGGATTATAAAACACTTCACACAAAATTCATCGTAGACAATGTATATAGGAAACTTTGTGTTTGGATTTTTTTTAGTTTCATGTATTTTTGGATGTTCATTAGCTGTGCCCTTTAGTCTCTTCTTCCCATCGGGGGGCGACAGGGGAGACAAAGTTTTGCAGTCTGGAGACGATGTCAGTTCTGATGAGATTGCTTTACAAACGCCAATTGCTTACTATGACGACAGATATTCCAGTATTTTTGTAAGTTCATGTTTAATGTCTCTTACTTATATGATATGTAGAAAAATCTGTTTATTAGCAACTTCAGTTAACATAAAAAAAAATATTGATAATTATAATGAGAGAAAGAAGAAAAATGGTAATAACAGCTTTATTTAAAGTAAAGATGTCTAACTGATTGAAAACTGAAAGCGAAGACCTCAATTTAAGAAAAACAATGGCACATTTTGCAAAAGCTTTTTTATTTAGCTAATCTGGTTGAAAAATATTCGTGAAAGCATAAAGGCGTTTTCAGTAAACAATATTTTTCAATTTCAAACAATGTCATAAATGATTTTTTTTTAAATCTGTAAGAGTAATTATGTTTCAAACGAGGATATGAGCTTTAATTTAAAGTATGAGAAATATTTAAATAATGTTTAACACAAAATAATAAGCACAAGTGTCTTGTAACAGAAGTTGATTTTTCATTAAATGATTAATTCGTGTATTGTGGTTCAGAGAAATATGATAAGTGGTTATTATAACACAATGAATAGTAGTCATTCGTGAATTAATAGGAAAGTGATTGTAAATAGTTGGTGTGAGTTTTAACTATGGTGACAATTGTAAAAAAAAGGCAATCAAGTTCAATAAAAATCCCTCAGAAAAATACACATTTGGTAAATAGTATCAGTTAAATCCCGCTCCATGGTGTTAACATTACATCATACAGAATGTCAGAAGCCATAGTCTACTACTTAATACACTTAGAGCGGTTTTCATAGAGTACGTTCAATATAAGAACATTTTCTTATTTCACAGACACATAATACAACATTATATTATACGTCTCTGCCTGTACCTAACAGCGTATTTATATGGTAAATTAAAATGAAGTGTACTTACTATAAATTTGAAGATTTTGTAAAATTTTATGTTTACACGTTAAGATTGTGTATAAACTGTAAATGAATTTTGTTTACTTTCGAAGTAAGACGTATATTACATAAACTGGTAAGTTGTAAACCATATGGCATTTGATAACGTGTCGAAAATTGAAATAGTTTTGACATTTATCGTGCTGGAATGCAACCTTGGTTTTCGATGGTAACAAGTTTCCAGTCATAGCAGTGTCCAAAAATAAAATAAACAGCTGCGCCATGACCGCATGATACGCCCGTCGTCTTGTGTTTGAATTTTTATGCAATAATCATAAATAGTTTCTGGCATACGGCCTGACATGCGAAAAACCCCTTTTTAAAAAAAAAAAAAAAATCAATATCTCAAAAATAAAATTTTGAATCAAAACCTTAAAGTATACAGATCTTTAGATTAATATAGCTAAAAAGTGTGTAAAGTTTTAAGCAATAATCATAAACTGTTTTTGAGATACGGCGCGACATGTGAACCCCCCCCCCTTTTTAACAAAATACTCGATATCTCTAAAATAAAATTTTGAATCATCACCAAAAAGTATACATCACCAAAAAGGATACAGATCTTAAGATTAATATAACTAAGAAGTGTGTAAAGTTTTAAGCAATAATCATAAATTGTTTTTGAGATACGGTGCGACATGTGAAAAAAAACACACACCTGTTTTAGTTACTAAGTCCCGTATCTCAAAAAGTTTTAATCTTATTTTCACCAAAAAGTATACAGATCGTTTGACCATCATAAGAAACAACTATGTTAAGTTTCATGAAATTTGGATAAGTCGTTCTCAAGTTACGGTGCGACATGTTTACGCCGGACAGACAGACGGACAGACGACATTTGTATACCATAATACGTCCCGTCAAAATTTTGACGGGCGTATAAAAATGTGGATTTTTTTTTAATGTATAAATATGTCAACTGTGGAAAATGGGATATAGATATAGATACACGATCATAAAACCTTTAACCAGATGATCTCAAAAATGAGTACTGGGAAGATGAAGCTTGCGTCTCAAATATGCACACACAATGACCGTCACTAAAACTGATTAAGACGTTAACTATATTTTATTGAACCCTCACTATTTTAATGATTATGATTAACAGCATTCAGACCTGAAACTACTATAATACATGTGTCTCAGTTTAGACACCATTACTACACCTTTTGACCATGCTTGTCTTCTAATGCATATAGTCAGCTTCAAAGGGATTCAATTATTTCTGTAACAACGGGGTAACAACACCTTAACCAGTTGTCGCTTTAATTTCACCTCTATGTAAAAAAATGTGTAATAATTTTTAACGGCTAGCAAAACTGAAAAGATTTTCAGAAAAGAATTGGCGCGCTGTGACCCGTAATTATGCTTGACTTGGAATTTTGTAACGTTAAAGGCCTGTTGTTTATCTGATAGAAGAGCTGTTTCTTGTGTTTGCTACACCTGTTTTTCCTGTAGTACACATGTTTCCGACCATTAACGTCTCTCTCTATAAATCTAACTGTGAAAGTTATAGGAGGACTCAGCTACTACATACGCAACGCTAATACTATATCATACGGATACTGAGAAAAATAACACCTTTTTGCCCCCTTCCAACCTCCAAAGCAAACAAAATAACGACTAACAATTACGATGCATGCTTTGAATGGATAGTTTATATAACATCTTTCAGAAATTAAGAGAAGGCTGGGGTTCACAGCCCTCGTTTTCTTGATACATAACAAATAAAAAATTAACGTTTCAATCAATATTAAAACTGATAAAATATTGTCTTTATTCTTTTAAATTCATTGTTTTATTTAATATTTTAGTAAAAGCATAAGCTAATCATTTGATTCACAAGTTAAAACCCCTAAACTACCCTTGCACTATATTAGGAATGCATTATCCATGTAGACAATTAAATATGATAACGTAGTGCTCACACAAATAAACAGGAAAATGCTAAGCTATATCATAGATATAATAGCCATTATCATATCTATGACTATATACAGATTATCAGATTTTCTCCGTATCTACATGAGTATGTAAAATATCGGTTGATACTTATCTAAGGATTTACTTTAGTACGATCCTGCTATATATAAGATTCTTGATTAATGTAATTGTATATTTAGGGGATCGAAGCAATTGTTTATTTCAGAAACATATATACATGTCTCTGTTTACTTAGAAGGTCGATGTTTCTCTCCGGATACTCATACTTTCTCCACCATACGCCCCCTTTGATTGCCAAAATATAAAAATCTCATGCTACTCACGATTTACATGTGTATATGTTTTTTTAAAAATAGTCTCGCTACTCTCAGTGGTTTTTATTCAATTTCTGAAACTGCGCACACCCTTTCGAAAATCCTGATTCCGCCCCTGATCTTTGCAATTCAAGCTAACTGACTAGACTCAACCAAGAGTTATTAATTACAATAGGACTGTCATAAAAATCCTTAACTTAAATTCAGTCTTTTGCAGTATTCGGTACCAAGTTTAATTTTTCCTGGCTACAGTGAACGTCTCTCTGACCTGGGACTTATAATATATATCATGACCCAGGTCTGACTGAACCCTGAATTTAAGTTAAGGGTTTTTATACAGTTCATTATTTCATAGGGTGGTTTGCCATATGGAACTCTTACCTTCTACAAGGCTGTCAAGTTTTCATGAAGCAAATGCATGAGATTTGTAAAGATCAAAGAGAAAAAAACAATAAATCAAAGGAAAATGCCGCCAAATAAGCATGAAAATGCATGCGTCTCATGCAAATAGTTCTGCGTCTACCTCTTTCTGTAATTTTACGAGTCTAGTACAAGAAACGTCGGGTTCAGTCACCTTCCTTATCAAATAATTTGCATAAAATGGCTATGTATTTTCTCTTCACTGATTATCGTACAACGCGGTATTTTGAAACGTAAGAAGAAAGAATGGTAGGCTTTGGTACAGAGTATAATAGTCCCATGTTTAAACAATCATTTGAATTAATAGGACCACACTCTTAAAATATTTTTTTTTTAAAGATTATTTAATTGTACAGGCAGAGACATATACACGTATAATAAAAATAATTGTTTTTTATATGTATGTCTCTGATACACATTAGGGAGCTACCATCATTGACCATAGGATGAAAAATTTTGTCCTGCATTTTTTTTTAATTGTAATCTCTGTCCTGCCTTATTTTTCACTCTATTCGGTCATGCCTTTTTTTATGCCCACGTCGTAGCGGTGGGGGCATTAAGTTTTTCCCTTGTCCGTCTGTACATACGTACGTACGAACGTACGTCCCGAAATTGGTTTCCGTTCTCTAACTTGAGTTTGCCTCAACCAAATGTTATGAAACTTATACACAATGCTTATTACCACAAAACACAGATCAAGTTTGAATTTTGGTCGCGACACTTTTACCGTTCTAGAGTTATGCCCCTTTATAAATGGAAAAATTGCTAATTTTTTATTTTCTATTAAATATCAAGTAATTTTCAAAATTGGAGTGTATCTTCCTTTGTCCATGATTATAGTTGAATCAACTACAATCAATGCTCTATACAATGCAATGTTTGATTTTGACTTCCACTGATAAAACACAGACCAAGTTGAATTTGGGTAGTGTCACTTTAATCATTATTGAGTTATGCCCCTTTATAAATCGAAAGATTGCAAAATTTTTAGTTTCCATTCTGTAACTTAACTTTGCCCCAACCAAACATTATGAAACCTATACACAATATTCATTACCACAAAACTAAGATCAAGTACAAATTTTTTGTTTCCGTTTTCTAACTTTAGTTTGCCTCAACCAAATGTTATGAAACTTATACACAATGCTAATTACTACATAATACAGATTAAGTACGAAGTTTGGTGGTGACACTTTCACCATTCTAGAGTTATGCGTGTTTACAAATGGAAAAATTGCTGAATTTTTAGTTTCTGTTCTCTACTTAAGTTAGCCTCAACCAAATGTTATGAGACTTACACACAATGCTTATTACCACAAAACTCAGATCAAGTTCAAATTTGGGTAGCGTCACTTTTACCGTGTCTTCAGTTATGTCCCTTTATAACTATATGGTATGCAAGCGGGGGCATCATCTGTGTCCACATGTGTCCACTATCCTCATTTATTTAAAGTTTATCCTGACTTTACCTAAATTGTCATCCTGACTTTTTTTTGCAAGTGTCTCATCCTGCCTTTTTTTTTTACTCAAAACTCCTGTCCTGCCTATTTTTTTCAAATTTCATCCTAGCCCCCCTCCCCCCATAAAAATCAAATGGTAGCTCCCTTAGGACATTGTTCATTGGAATTGTTCAATGAAGATTATCGCTTTTAGGCATGTATTTCTTGGCATCAGCCAATTAAAAAGACACTTTCTTGATCGTTACTTTCTTGATCGTTATTAGATTTTAATAACATCATTTTCACATTCTGGTGATCTGGGTAAATTTTCAGTACTCATTAGATCTGTTCATCAACAGCTATGTATAGGTCATTTGGTCTTTGGTGGATAGTTCATACCACATCTTCTTATCTTTATATGAAAGGGCATCAGTATGTGGTATGTGGATTAATTGCCTGTTTAACAAGTCATTTGCATTGACACCATTGCTATGCTCAGATGACAGTTAGGTTAAATTTTTATAGTTCCTGATCAGTAACTTTAGAAGATGAAGAGGCTCCTAACAACAGATAAAGTATTTTAAAGAAAATAGTAACCAGATTTGTACAAAGAACCAAACAAATTAGTACATGCATATAAAATATAAATATATGAATAACTCTCCCTCCAACAAAAGAAGTCGCTGTAATTAATTTTAGTACTGTGAATATTTTACATTTCATACTGTGTTGTTTTTACCATATTTATTTGTTCTATCTTTTATTTGTTTGGAGACTTATCGTTTTTGTTCAGTTATTAGTCCCCTACCGACGAAGTCGAAGGGGACTTTAGGTTTGCACTCTGTCCGTCTCTCTGTCCGTACGTCTGTCCATCTGTCAGTCCGGCAACTCAGTTTTCCACACTTTTTTTCTTCGTTCTTAAAGGTATTGATTGGATACTTGGTATATAGTTTTGCCATGACAAGTTATAGATCAAGTTCGAATTTTGTTCTGTTCTGATGATTTAGTCCAGAGTTATGGACCATAACTCTAGACCATATATAATGTTAGAGTACTATTTATGTTAAACCATATTCCTGTACAAAGAGAGATAACTCATTTTTTAAAAGACATTCTTTGGTAAATTATTTGAAGAATTTTTTGGCAGGTTTGTTTGTTATTTTGTATAAACTAATTTTCTGAATGCTATATATATATAAAAAAAATTATGAAGTGAAATCCTTTAATTAGATAATAATCTATTTTTATTAATGTATATATTACATTACATTGTGTAGATAAAAATTGTTGACATTTTATAGATAAGTTACAAATCTAATTAGTTTGTGACAAATAAAAGAAAAAATATTTGGAACTATTAATTATATTAGATTATAATTTGAAAATAGATATACACTGTATTACATCATATCTAATTTTAGAGAACTATTAATCCTATCTAATGTTAAAGTGTTTTTCACACTTTTTTTCATCATGCTTAAAGATATTGATTGATAATTGGTATATAGTTTTATCATGACAAGTTATACAGATAAAGTTTCGGTCTGATAATTTTGTGCAAAGTTATGGTCCTTGGACTTAAAAAATTCACTCATTTAATCAGTTTTCCACACTGTTTTGAGTCATGCTTGAAGATATTGACTTGATATTTTCTTTATGTTTACACCATGACAAGTTATAGAACAAGTTAGCTTTTTGTTCCAGTATAATGAATTTTTACCGGGTAGGGGACTATGTATTGCCATGCAATACTCTCAGAATGCTTGTTATTTTTATTATTATTATTATTCCTCTTCCTCTGTGGTTTTGTTTGTGCATTGGGGTCTATTAGGGGTTCTTTGAGTGACCAAAAGAAAGGAGGGCTTTACTTTAGTACCCAATGGGATTTTTTGAAATTTTATTTTCAAATGATTATAACTTGAGAACAGTTAGTGATAGACACATGAGGTCTTCAGTAATGATCATGGACCATATGGCCTACTCCCAAGGTTTAAAGGTCAATGGTCACTTATGACCTTGATTTTTGACCTTAAACCTTATATTTCAAATTTTGTCGAGCTTGTGACAGCGAGACATAGGGATAGTGATCTGGCAACGGAGATGACGGTGGCGTTAACTCACTACTTAAAAGCTTGATATTTCAGAAGGTAGAAGACCTGGATGCTTTAAACTTTGTATATAGATGCCTTATGTTATGAAGTTTCCGTCTGTCAGAAGTCCATTGTCCTTGACCTCATTTTCATGGTTCAGTAACTACTTGAAAAAAAAGTTAAGATTTTTTGTAATCTTAATTTCTCTCTTATTATGAGTGAAAGGATAACTATATTTGGTATGTACGTACCTTGCAAGGTTCTCATGCCTGTCATACAGTTTTCACTTGACCTCAGCCTCATTTCATGGATCAGTGAACATGGTTAAGTTTTCGTGGTCAAGTCCATATCTCAGATACTATAAGTAATAGGTCTACTTTATTTGTTGTATGGAATGATTGTTAGTTGAACATGTCCAACTGGCAGGTGACATGTGACCTTGACCTCATTTTCATGGTTCAGTGGTTAAAGTTAAGTTTTTGTGTTTTTGTCTGTTTTTTCTAATACTGTATGCAGTAGGTAAACTATATTTGGTGTATGGAAATATTTTACAATGTACATGTCAGTCTGGCAGGTTTTATTTGACCTAGACCTCATTTTCACGGTCCATTGCTCAATATTAAGTTTTTGTGCTTTGGTCTGTTTTTCTTAAACTTTAAGTAATGGGTCAACTATATTTTGTGTATGGAATGATTGTAAAGTGTATATATCTGTCCGGCAGTTATCATCTGACTTAGACCTCATTTTCATGGTTCATTGGTCAATGTTAAGTTTTCCTGGTTAAGTTTGTTTCTTAGATACTATATTCAATAGGTCAACTATATTTAAAGCATGGAATGATCATAAGGTTCATAGTTCATTGGTCAATATAAAATTTCATGGTTTGGTTTCTTGTATACTTTACCATAAGCAATAGGTCAACCAAATTTGGTGTATGGAATGATTGTAAGGTGTACATGTATTTCTGGCTTAGTTTATCTGACTTTGACCTCATTTTCTTTGATCATGTTAAGTTTATGTGATACTTGTAGTAAACATTTATATTTAGGACTATCAACATAAAATCAATGGTTAGTAAAGCAGGCGAGATATTTTAGCTTGTGCACTCTTGTTACAAAAGTGTTTTAAAAAAGAATTGCAGAATCTAAAGAATTGAAAATGTTCTACATGATAAAACAAATCAAATGAAATATAAGGTTAGTCTCCAAAGGTCACCCCACCCCCTGCCATTTGAGAATGTTCTAATATCTTTTAAATGGTCGAGATCCCCACCCCTAAACCATATATATTCTGGTTTTTTATGTCAAGATGATTTGAATGATATACAAGGCTAGTCAGGACTTAGTCCACAGGGGTCATCCCACCCCCTGTCATTTGAAAATGTTCAAATATCTTGTAAGTGGTCGAGATCCCCACCCTAAACCGTATATATATTCTGGTTTGTAATGCCAAGATGATTTGAAAGATTTACAGGGTTAGTCCCAAGGGGTCATTCCCATCCACTGTTATTTGAGTATGTTCAAATATCTTGTAAGTGGTCGACATCTCCACCCCCAAACCATATATATTCTGGTTTGTTATGCCAAGAAGATTTGAATGATATAACAGGGTTAGTTCCAAGGGGGTAATTCCCACCCCAGATCATTTGAATAGGTTTAAATATCTTGTAATCCCTATACTATATATTTTCTGGTTTGACATGAAAAGATACATTAAATGAAATATAAAAGAAGTCCCCAGGGGTCATCCCCACCCCAATAATATGAGAATGTTCTTATTATCTTGTAAATGGTTAAAATCCCCACCCTAAACCATATAATTTCTGGAAGATGAATTGAATGAATAAAAGGGGGAGTCATTTGGGGTTTTCTCCTTATGGTGACTTTGTTTGGGAGACTTCAATATCCTGTTACAATCATTTCTTGTTGCTGACTGTTTCTAAACCATGGTAGATTTGCTGTCACTTTGACATTATATTGTATAGTTCCCAATTGAATTATATTTGTAAATTAAAAAAGATAAGAAATGGAAATTATTGACAATGAAAATATTGAAGTAGATTATCAGCACAAGGTTAATTTAAATTGTGATTTATATTTACAGGTTAATAATAATGGACATTTATCATTTGAATCAGAGCTTCCAGCTTATCAATCAACATTAATATTACCAATAGGATTTAAAGTATTAGCAGCATTCTTATCTGACATAGACACAACTTATGCAGGGACACTTTATTACAGGTAATAGAGTAAACTTAAAGGGGGTTGGGATATCTTGTCTACTATTTCACTTAAAGATAGCATACTCTGTATCCATTAGAACTCAAGAAATATGTAGATAATCAGGAAATGGGCTGATATTTTTTCACTTGGAAATACCATAATGATCATGATGGAGGATCTGAAAGGGGGGGGGGGGGGGGGGTCCTTGATTTCTGTATTCTTTATTTTTTTTAGGTCATTTTTTTCTATTCTTTATATTTTTTGCCCATTTTTCTCTGTTCTTTTTATTTTATCACCCCATTATTCTCTATTCTTTATATTTTGGCTTATTTTTCTCTATTCTGTATTTTTTTTGCCCTTTATTCTGCTCTTTTGTTCATTATTCTCATTTGGTAAACCCCATCCAGACCTTTATGTACATGTAATTTCTAATTATCCAATAGAAATATGGTTTGCCTTGCTCTCTGCACGTTAAGAACACTTGCAACAACTCTTTGAGGGGTCTTCTGAAAGGCAAAACGTCTGTCCCTATCCAATAATTCAAGTTTTCAGACCTTCATCCAGGACGACCCCTATTACAGGACCTAGTGGCTAACTGTTGTATTTATTGTAAATTTGTTTTTGTGTCCTGAACATGCATAACTATTTGCCACTAGACATTTAGCAATCAATCAATCAATTAGCTTTCAGTAACTTCGAGTACTCTAAGATATATGTGTAATGACCATAATTATTCAAAGTCCTAAGCAGGTAGGGCTTTTACAGTAGAGGATATTAGAAAATATGAATTTCTTGAATTAGTATGAACAGAACAGAAGTTCTGCATAAATTAGGCATCGACTGTGTGTGTGTATGTGTTTTTTTGTGGCTGGGGTGAAGGTTTAAGAATCAAAAGATGGATGGTCGATGTCTAGCCCAAAAGATAGTATTATTATATAGTAGTCTCAGTGTTTACGTGCCAATTTTTATGCCCCCTCCGCTACAGAGGGGGCATTAAGTTTTACCCTTGTCCGTCTGTACGTCTGTCCTCAACCAAATGTTATGAAACTTATACACAATGCTTATTACCACAAAACACAGATCGAGTTTGAATTTTGGTGGCGTCACTATAACCGTTCTAAAGTTATGCCCCTTTACAAATGGAAAAATTGATGAATTTTTCGTTTCTTTTTTCTAATTTTAGTTTGCCTCAACCAAATGTTATGAAACGTATACACAATGCTTATTACCACATACTTCAGTTCAAGTTCGAAATTGGGTGGCGTCACTTGTACCGTTCTTGAGTTATGCCCCTTTATAAACATAAAAACTGCTGAATTTTTCGTTTCCGTTCTCTAACTTAAGTTAGCCTCAACCAAATGTTATGAGACTTATACACAATACTTATTACCACAAAACTCAGATCAAGTACAAATTTGGGTAGCGTCACTTTTACTGTACTTCAGTTATGACCCTTTATAACTTTATATGATATGCAAGTGGGGGCATCATCTGTGTCCCATGGACACATTCCCCATTTATTTTAATGAAGGATCGTCAATATGTACTATCAATTAACGTATATATCAACTCAATCAGAAAGGAATATATAAGAAAATACCAAACAGGGTGTACTGCTTAATTAAAGGGCTAGGCTGATCTACGCTGGGCAATGCATATTGTAAATATTTTTTTTTTTAGATTTCTGATTGTATCACCAGTCATATGTAATTGTAAAATTATTCATATTTCGAACTTTTCTTCATGTATATTATCATGATAAAATAACCAGTAAATTTAATATTTATGTACACAAAATTTTGCAACTAAAATGCTGAAATCTGTTTTCCATCGGGGGGGGGGGGGGGGTCGTCCCCCAGACAGTTGATTGAATACCTAGCTACGCCCCTGTCTAGACGCATTCTCCGTTTCCATTCTCTATTCTTATTATGTCCAAGAATTAATGAAGTTGTAAAAGAGGGACGAAAGATACCAGAGGGACAGTCAAACTCATAGATCGAAAACAAACTGACAACGCCAGTAACTAATACTTTTGAAGATTTTCATTTGTAGTTGCCATTATTGACATCTGTCCATTGATGTTAACAGTTGTTAACTCTATGATTTATTGACAGAAAATACAGATAAGATAATGTAGCAATATTTTTCTGGAATCAATTATACGTTTGTTTTGAAAACAAAAATTTTTCCATTAAGACCCTCATTACATGATGATACCAGTATCTTTCTGAAGCATCACTTCTCTTGCATAATTGTGGTAATTATCATGTATATGAATACTCCCTCTAGTGATTATATAGCAGATACACGGTGTTGAAGAATACTATTCCTTTGATAATATACATGTACAAGTGCAATGTGTTGAAGGAAAAATAAAGTCTGCTAACACCTTGATTGTCTTGTGTAGGATGGTTACATAAGAAGCTTGTATAAAGCTTAAAGGAGCACTAGCTACGAGAAAAATAAAAAATATAAAATACGATTTTTTTTATTCAATCATTAATGAAAGTGAGATAGTGAAATAATATATCGCTTTTAGCAGCTAGTATGGTTCAATTTTGTCAAAATAAGCTAAGAAACTTTGAGGATGAATTATTCACTTGCAAGTGAATAATTCGACCTCATTGAATCAGTATTCTTGTGAACTTCAATTTAACCCCTTGGCTAGAGATGGATACCGCATGCATTGTGCGTTTTAAATTATTTAAAGGAAAAGAATGTCAACATTGAAAGTGAAACAAAGGTAAATAATTTGATTGACTGATTCGATCCACAAAAAATCATTCTTATACAGGTAAAAACGATGATAAACATATATTTTTATACGACCGCAAAAAATTTTGCGGTCGTATATTGGTATGACGTTGGCGGCGTCGTCGTTGTCGTCGTCGACGTCCGGCATCATCCGAAGACACATTGGTTTTCGCACTCTAACTTTAGTTTAAGTGAATGGATCTCTTTGAAATTTTACCATAAGGTTCAATACCACAAAAGGAAGGTTCCAACAGTTAAGGAATTAGGGGCCAAAAAGGGGCCAAAAATAAGCTTTATTGTAACTTCCAGACATAACTTGTGTGTTAGTATATGGATCTCTCTGACATTGTACCACAAGGTTCCATATCACACAGGGAATGCTGGGATTGATTTTGGGGGTAATTGCCTCAAAATATTAGGAATTAGGGGCCAAAAAAGGGGCACAAAACAATAATTTTTCTAGTTTCCAGACAATAACTTGTGTTCAAGTGTGTGGATCTCTCTGAAATTGTACTGCAAGGTACCATACCACAAAGTGAAGGCTGGGATTGAGTTTGGGGGTGATGAATCATAAGGGGGTTCAAAAAATTAGGGGGGGGAATTTTTTTTTTTTTTTTCCTTTTTTCTTTCTTGAAAAAATTTTCCATTTTAAGTTGGTTATTTCTGATTTATATTTAAAAGCAAATAATAATGATATGGTAGGAGATACACACCAAACAGGATGTGTAAATTATTATATAATAAGTATTGTGCAATAGCAAGAAATTTTCAATTGCACAGTATTGTACAATAGCAAGAAATCTTCAATTGCACAGAATTGCGCAATAGCAAGAAATCCTCAATTGCACAGTATTGCGCAATAGCAAGAAATATCCAATAGCACAATATTGCGCAATAGCAAGAAATTGTCAATTGTACAGTATTGCGCAATAGCAAGAAATATTCAATTGCACAGTATTGTGCAAAAGAAGATACTTCCTATAAATTGCTTATTTCTTGACCAATTTCAATGGGGTTTTATTCTTGAATTCTTGGGGTTCTTTAATATGCTGAATCTAACCGTGTATTAAGTTTTTGGATTTTGGAACCCGTTTTTAAATTGGTCCACATTGAGGTCCAAAGGGTCCAAAATTAAACTTTGTTTGATTTCATCTAAAATTGAATTATTGGGGTTCATTGATATGCCGAATCTAACCGTGTATTTAGATTCTTAATTTTTGGTTCCGTTTTCAAATTGGGTCTACATTAAGGTCCAAAGGGTCCAAAATTAAACTTAGTTTGATTTTAACAAAAAATGAATTCTTAGGGTTCTTTGATTTGCCGAATCTAAACATGTATTTAGATTTTTGATTATGGGCCCAGTTTTCAAGTTGGTCCAAATCAGGGTCCAAAATTAAACTTTGTTTGATTTCAACAAAAATTGAATATATGGGGTTCTTTGATATGCTGAATCTAACCATGTATTTAGATTTTTGATTTTTGGGCCCCATTATCAACTTTGTCCACATTGAGGTCAAAAGGGTCCAAATTAAACTTTGTTTGATTTCATCAAAAATTGAATTCTTGGGGTTCTTTGATATGCTGAATCTAACCATGTATTTAGATTTTGGATATTGGACCATAATAGGTGAATGTCCAATTTAAAATTTTTAAGTTCTTAGACCACATTCATTCTGTGTCAGAAACCTATGCTGTGTCAAATATTTATTCACAATCCAAATTCAGAGCTGTATCAAGCTTGAATGTTGTGTCCATACTTGCCCCAACTGTTCAGGGTTCGACCTCTGCGGTCGTATCAAGCTGCGCCCTGCGGAGCATTTTATTAATCTATAATATGAAATTAAACAGACCTAGAAAAATCCAAATGCACGAGTCTGCTATCTATTTATATCTTTATTATGTTTATATCGCTTATATGGCAATTGGAGGTCTTCGGGGGGTCAACTCGACAGTTATTTAGATGGCGTCTAGACTAAAATATACACGAAACGAAGCTACATATTATCGAGCCCATGCCCAGAATATTGTTTATTTTAGACTTTTTATATGACCGCAAAAAAATTTTGCGGTCGTATATTGGTATGACGTTGGCGTCGTCGTCGTCGTCGTCGGCGTCGTCCAAAGACACATTGGTTTTCGCACTCTCACTTTAGTTTAAGTGAATGGATCTCTTTGAAATTTTACCATAAGGTTCAATACCACAAAAGGAAGGTTGGGATTGATTTTGGGGGTTATGGTACCAACAGTTAAGGAATTAGGGGCCAAAAATAAGCATTTTTGTAACTTCCAGACATAACTTGTGTGTTAGTGTATGGATCTCTCTGACATTGTATCACAAGGTTCCATATCACACAGGGAATGCTGGGATTGATTTTGGGGGTAATTGCCTCAAAATATTAGGAATTAGGGGCCAAAAAAGGGGCAAAAAACAAGCATTTTTCTAGTTTCATGATAATAACTTGTGTGTAAGTGTATGGATCTTTCTGAAATTGTACTACAAGGTTCCATATCACAAAGGGAAAGCTGGAATTGAGTTTGGGGGTAATTGCTCAAAACATTTAGGAATAAGGGGCCAAAAAGGGGCCAAAAATAAGCATTTTTCTAGTTTCCAGACAATAACTTGTGTTCAAGTGTATGGATCTCTCTGAAATTGTTCTGCAAGGTACCATACCACAAAGGGAAGGCTGGGATTGAGTTTGGGGGTGATGAATCATAAGGGGGTTCAAAAAATTTGGGGGGTGGGGTTTCCTTTTTTATCTTTTTTTCCTTTTTTTTTCTTTTAAAATTTTCCATTTTAAGTTGGTTATTTCTGTTTTATATTTAAAAGCAAATAATAATGATATGGTAGGAGATACACACCAAACAGGATGTGTAAATTATTATATAATAAGTATTGTGCAATAGCAAGAAATTTTCAATTGCACAGTATTGCACAATAGCAAGAAATCTTCAATTGCACAGTATTGCACAATAGCAAGAAATCTTCAATTGCACAGTATTGTGCAATAGCAAGAAATATCCAATAGCACAATATTGCGCAATAGCAAGAAATTGTCAATTGTACAGTATTGCGCAATAGCAAGAAATATTCAATTGCACAGTATTGTGCAAAAGAATATACTTCGTTTAAAATGATTATTTCTTGACCAATTTCAATGGGGTTTTTTTCTTGAATTCTTGGGGTTCTTTAATATGCTGATTCGAACCGTGTATTAAGTTTTTGGATTTTGGGCCCCGTTTTTAAATTGGTCCACATTGAGGTCCAAAGGGTCCAAAATTAAACTTTGTTTGATTTCATCAAAAATTGAATTATTGGGGTTCTTTGATATGCCGAATCTAACCGTGTATTTAGATTTTTAATTTTTGGTTCCGTTTTCAAATTGGTCTACATTAAGGTCCAAAGGGTCCAAAATTAAACTTAGTTTGATTTTAACAAAAATTGAATTCTTAGGGTTCTTTGATATGCTGAATCTAAACATGTATTTAGATTTTTGATTATGGGCCCAGTTTTCAAGTTGGTCCAAATCGGGGTCCAAAATTAAACTTTGTTTGATTTCAACAAAAATTGAATATATGGGGTTCTTTGATATGCTGAATCTAACCATGTATTTAGATTTTTGATTTTTGGGCCCCATTATCAACTTTGTCCACATTGAGGTCAAAAGGGTCGAAAATTAAACTTTGTTTGATTTCATCAAAAATTGAATTCTTGGGGTTCTTTGATATGCTGAATCTAACCATGTATTTAGATTTTGGATATTGGACCATAATAGGTGAATGTCCAATTTAAAATTTTTAAGTTCTTAGACCACATTCATTCTGTGTCAGAAACCTATGCTGTGTCAAATATTTAATCACAATCCAAATTCAGAGCTGTATCAAGCTTGAATGTTGTGTCCATACTTGCCCCAACTGTTCAGGGTTCGACCTCTGCGGTCGTATCAAGCTGCGCCCTGCGGAGCATTTTATTATAATTTGGATAAATGTTTTACATTGTTATAAATCAAATATGAGAATTTGAGTCAAATGGGTGAACATGAATTTGACAGCTAGTGCCCCTTTAATATCTATATTTTTAACACCATTGGTCATGTTGACCTGAGTCTTCATTTAAATGGTGCTGCCAATTCATGAACTTAATGTTCAATAAGAGAATATGGTATTTATGACAGATTTTTTTTATAGTTTCATAAACTTTGGTCAATTCAGAGTTGAAAATATTGTAGAGATACTTTAATATGGGGTTTTAAGTTTTAACCAGTATTTTACATGCACACAAACTTCCCCTTTGCCTAAACCATATTAAAAGTAAACCTTTAAAAAAAACCTGCTTAGCCCCCACAGGATGACCACTTACTTTAACAAGGTAGTAAAAGAAAGCACATAACTTAAAAAAGCTAGGTCAAAACAGCTCAGGAATCTTAGGTAGCTATTATTATTTTCAGCCTTGAGATCCTCATTTGAATGTTTGGGTTATTTAAACCATGTATTAGTTAATTGGGTTAGAAGAGTTTTTTTCTTTATGTGCTGTCTCAAGCCTGTCTCAAGCCTGTCCCAAGCCTTCTGAAATCCAGTGGTTATCGTTGGTTGCTGTCTGCTATATATGTTTTTATGTCCCCACCACTATGCTGGGGGGGCCTTAAGTTTTACCCTCATCTGTCTGTACGCCCCGAAATTGGTTTCCTTTCTTTAACTTTAGTTTGCCTCAACCAAATGTTATGATACTTATGCACAATGCCTATTACCATCAAACACAGATCAAGGTTGAATTTGGATGGCGTTACTTTCACTTTTCATTTGTTATGCCCCTTTATAAATTGGGAAATTGACAAATTTGCTGTTTTGCATTTTCTATGACTTTTACTGTTCTTGAGTTATGTCTCTTTATAACTGGAAAAAATTATTTTGTTCAAACTCTAATTGTTTTATGTACTGAGAAAATGTTACATTGCATATTTACAAGTGGAGGCATCTGTGTCCAATGGACTGATTCTTATGTTTGTTCATAATTGTAGCATAAACCAGGCCTTTTGCTATTTTGAAATGCTTTACATTTTGTCACACTGAGGCCTTTTATAACTCACTATACGGTACAGGTTGTGCTCATTTGCTCATTGTTGAAGGCTGTAATAGTTCACATTTTAGTCCCTTGGTCTACTGTTAGTTTTCTTATTAGCAATCTCCTTATTTTTGTATTCATTTTGGAAAAGGTGTATTGATAAAATATGTTTATGAAAATACTTTTGACCATTTCAGGGAAACAGATGAGGCAGATTTGTTACAGAGAGCAGCTTTAGATGTTCATGCACATTTCGCTGATTTTGATAATTACATGCCAACTAGTCTGTTTATTGCAACCTGGGATCATGTTGGATTCTACAAAGAAAATGACACATTGGTAATGTTACATGTTCTTTTTCTCTTTGTTTATTTATCAGATGAATATTATGTTTTATAGGCAGATACCCTGTTTAAATTGGAACTCTGTTTAATCAAAATTGTAAACAATCAAAATATGATGTATTTGACATGTTCACAGCTGTTTCTAAAGTCATTAAAAGTTTATTGCATCTCAGCTGTATTATCTGAGATATTGTAGGTTATATATTTGTTTACATACAAATTATAGACTGGAACTATTGATATGTCATCTTTTTGTTAAAAACAAGTAGTCATGACAACGGATAATAATAAGCTAGATACATAATTTTGAAATGATCTTGAAGATGCATTCACATAAATTCCATTGAAAGAAAATTCAATAGAAAAATCATGTATTGATGTGATGCTTCAGTCTGTATCTCTACCCACGGCAAAAGTACCTTTCTCAGGAAAAACTTACACAACAAAAATCCTGAAAACTGTTAACATAATGAGCCTATTGTGAAGGAGTTTGGTTAGCCTTTTGCATTCAGAGGTGTATAAGTTTACCGGTATAGCCTAAAAACTTCAAAGGTTCCAATATTTGTTTATATTTTCAAAATCAATTTCTATTATGAAAAGTACTAGATTTATGAGCCAAGGGAAATAATTTCTTCATGGGGTTGTACATTAAAAGTGAAGTTTGAACATCATTTAATGATATCAACTTTCTAATTTCTCTTAATTGTTCCCATACACAAAAGACTAAACATTTTGGACCTTGAAAATGCATCAATTTAAAGAAAATCAAACTGTTAGTACACTTTTCTTTGTCTTATATGTTTCTATACTTTTATTATAGTCTGTTCAGAACTTTGTTTCTGAATTTACTTTAGTGTTTTCTTGAACATTTAGAAAATCACCCCGTGAACCAATATTATCAGACAATATTTATAAAGAAATTTAAGTGCTGCTATAATATATATATTGTTAAACGATTTTACTATGTAAATGAATAATTTGCAGACTGCAGTCCTTTTGCAACAATTGCTATTTTTTAGATGTTTATTATTTGCGCCAAATATTATTTTTGAAAGGTATCTATTATATTGACTTTCTGAATAAATGTGACTATGAATGTCAATGTTGCAAGATATGCCAAAATGATAAGAAAGCATTCAATTCTTATAATTACATTTTAATGCTACAACCATGAAATTAAGAGTTAATATCAACTTTTTCGTTTGTTTTTCAAGGCATTATTAAAACATTGTAATGGATAGCACGTGATATTGGAGTGCCTCCATTGTAACGGATAGCACGTGATATTGGAGTGCCTCCATTGTGACGGATAGCACATGATATTGGAGTGCCTCCATTGTAACGGATAGCACGTAATATTGGAGTGCCTCCATTGTAACGGATAGCACATGATATTGGAGTGCCTCCATTGTAACGGATAGCACATGATATTGGAGTGCCTCCATTGTAACGGATAGCACCTGATATTGGAGTGCCTCCATTGTAACGGATAGCACGTGATATTGGAGTGCCTCCATTGTAACGGATAGCACGTGATATTGGAATGCCTCCATTGTAACGGATAGCACGTGATATTAGAGTGCCTCACGATTGTTGTCAGCCAATCAAACTTACCGATTCTAATGAAACATGCATGTAATGTAATTATTTGCCTTTAAAAATACCAAAATTATACAAGAAAAGAACTTAGTAGTAGAGATTATGTTTTTTTCTTAAATTACAAATTGCAGCCTTTAATATAATTATTATGTTGTCTGACTGTTATTAATAGATGTTGTCTGACTACATCTGATTTACATAGATGTAATAAATAAATATTTCATCTTTTCACTTGTTCTAAAAAATTAGTTTTGATAAATCAGGTCAGATGATGTTTTGTTGTTATGGATTTGGAATGGAATCTTAATTGGTCTATTTTCTGTCATCAAATTGATACCTTATCACTGCTTTTGTATGGCAATATAAATTGCTGTACTATCTTGTCTTTTCTGATTTAATTGCCACAATCTGAACTTTTGGCTGATAAATGATAACACTTCTATGTAAGTATTAGATACACTTTGAGGGTGTTAGCCCGAATGGTTGTATCTAATTTACACCCAAGATATTATTGTCAGTGCAGAATGATAGTTTTCAATAATTAAGAAGGGGGTCTTTCAGTGATTTGACCATATGTTATTGAAAAGCCTGATAAATGCAGGGTATTCAATTTCATTTAACGACATCTTGGTGTAAATAGTATAATTAAATCAATTTAGATATTTTATAACTATTATGTCAATGTGAAATGTTGGTCTAAAAGTCTGTTGTCACTATGACAGTTTTCCGGTACAAGTTTTATTGGTCAAAGTTTTTGATGGATTTTTTTATAGTGATAACCGTCAAAGAAAACTTTGAAGGACTTGGATGGAATAGAATCTCATCCTATTTATCTTGAATGGACTTGGACAGGCATTATCCAATCACAAGTCACTATCAAAGTTTTTCATTAAAATCTTGGTCAAAGAAAAAACTGCACTGTGATTGGATAATTTCTGTCCAAGTCCATCCTAGTTTCAAGAAAAATAGGATGAGATTCTATTCCATCCAAGTCTGTCAAAGTTTTCTGACAGTTGAAAACTTTGACGGTTGTCACTATAAATAAATCCATCAAAAACTTTGATCAAGAAAACTTGTACAATAAAACTTTGATTGTGACAGCGGGCCTTAAAGGAGGATTTTTTGTAAAATAAATTGGTGCATATTTTGATTTTGGCACAAATGATACTTTGGTAACTAATATTTTGAAAACTAGTCGTGCTATTGGGGCAAATAAGTTAATTGTGCACGAAAGGACACATTTTATGTGCAAACGGATTTCTCCCTATTTGCATACATACGGTAGTAACTTATATTATCATGACCTGAAAATTGATAGATGAACTATGACATTCTATAACATAATGTATAACATGCTTTAATTTACACATGTTTCACAGACATTAACATTGTGTCATATCTTGTGGTTATTTTTAAATTTCAAGAATTTTAAGACTTTTGACATTGATATAATAGACTACAATACACATTTGAATATAATATGAAATATACTATTGGAGAGATAAGTTCTTTATATTATGAAAAAAAACCAGTCAACTTTGAGATTACTTGTATAGGGGTCTTAGTTATAGGGCATTAGAATATTTGTTTTCCAGGGATCATCTGACTTCAGTTTAGATATTTCCATTTACACTGATCATCATAGTTAGCTGCTATTGTTTTTTTCATTGTTTAAACAATTATGCATTTGAAATGAATTGATAAATCCTCAAAGTTGCATTTCAAAAGAGTAATACAAATTTATAAATAAACTTTATTTTCACAATGTAAGACATAATGAAGAATAAGATATAAATATAGCTGAAAAATAGTTGTAATTTGTTTTTTTCAGTTAAACACTTTCCAGATAGTGATTGCTTCTGATGGTCAGGATTCCTTTATTTGTTACCATTATCTTGATGATGGAATTAACTGGATCACTAGTTCAGGGAAGGAAAGCCCATATTATCCAGATCCTCCAGCTCAGGCAGGATTTGATTCTGGGGAGGGACGACGGTATTACAGATTACCAAACTCTGGAACAAAACAAGTTAAGGACCTTGCTACGTAAGTAATTTAGATAAATAAAATATCCTTGAAAATTTGTATTTACAAAGGGCCAAGTGAGCTTTTCTCATGACTTGGCGTCCGTCGTCCGTTGTTGTCCGTTAGAGTATACAAAAATCTTTTCCTCTGAAACTGTCAGGCCAAATTTAACCAAACTTGGTCAAATCATTATTGGGGTATCTAGTTTGAAAAATATGTCTTATGACCCCCCCTGACAACCAACATAGCGGACCCAGGTTAGGGGAGGGTTGTCGCCTTCAAACTAGTTTAACCCCACCACATTCTGTATGTGCCTGTCTCAAGTCAGAAGCCTGTAATTCAGTGGTTGTCGTTTGTTGCTGTGTAACATATTTGTTTTTCGTTCATTATTTTGTACATAAATTAGTTCGTCAGTTCTTTTGTTGAATTTTTTTTACATTTGTCATTTCGGGGCCTTTTATAGCTAACTATGCGGTATGGGCTTTGCTCATTGTTGAAGGCCGTATGGTAACTTATATTTGTTAATTTCTGTGTCATTTGGTCTCTTGTGGAGAGTTGTCTCATTGGCAATCATACCACATTTTTATATTATGTGGCTAAAATTAGAACATAAGGGTAAAATGCAAGTTTTGTCTATTGTCTTGAAAACTACTACATGTATGAATAAAGGAAATCTGAAAGGAACAGAAATGTTCTAAATGTTGAGATCTATACCTACTGTCCGTTTACATCGAAACTATCAGATGGCTTCTTACAGGAGTTATTGCCCTTAAATGACAAATTTTACCAATTTTTTTTTATATTTGCCTATTATATTGATTATATATCAATAGATAGAGGGAAACTTGATAAGCAATACAAGTTCAACACAAAAGAGATTTTAGTCACAAATTATATTCGAGTCAGCAACGTTGGAGAGTGTCATTTGTTGAAGATGCACATAGACCTAGGAAAGCCTCGTATCTATATTCTAAATTAGTGTGTTGCATCTAGGAAAATGTTAAAATGCCTTTCACCAACATATTTTAACATTATTAACTTAAGATTGAGAGCCTGAAAACAGAGTCAGTTTAAAGTATGTGGAAAGGAAAAATTCTTCTGTTGTATTCATCGTCTAGCCCTGATGTCACATATTTATAAAGACAAAATGAAATGAACTTTACCCCAAATCAGTGCTTTATACATCTTCCTGTAGATCATCCACCTCCCTGTATAATGTTAAAACCAGATGTCCATCAAACTGCAGTCTGTAATGAATATATATGTTGTTTATAATTGATCCATGTCAATAGGCCAGCCAGGTTGTAGACTGCAAATTACAAAGTGCTTAAGTTAATTATGTGGTGAGGTAAAAGTAATTGGTTTCCCTGATTGACTTCTGATGTTTAGAGTGATTTGCAGTATGGCCATATACAAACTGTCAATTTAATTACACATATAAAAACATAAATTCATGTATGATATGATTTGGCAACTTAACCTCATTTCAAATTCCATTTTTAAATTTATACATATAACCAGTTATTTCCTAACAGATCAATGGAGATATACTTAAACACAAGGATGTAAAAAAGTCACTGTAGGAAATTCAAATGATCAAGTAACCCATAACACAAAGCTATACGAAAGATAATTGATTGTTGCTGTTTAATTCCACTCTCAGCACTCTTTGCTATATCAGTTTTTATGGAAGCTGGAATTTCCAGTGAGAACCACTACCTTCAGCAGGAAAACTGACGATCCTAGCCATTTTAGATTGGAGTCAAACACACCTTGCCACGAGAGGTTTTGAACTCACATCTTCAGTGATGACAGGCTAATGAACACTGTAGATGAACTTCTTATTCTACTTATGTACAAAATTCCTGGAAGATATAAAAAGCCCAGGGATAACAAAATGTGAAACTATTCGAAAGTTTGAATGAATTTACATATTTTATCTTATAAAATACAGATGTTAGTATTGATAGCACTCCATTTGGACACTTTACTCTGATGTCAGTTGTATGTTGAGATGATGTATCAATCAGGAGATTTCCCTCTAATGTAATTAACATTTTTTTTCTGATAATATAATGATTGAACTATCCTTGATAGCTAATGTTTATTTTACAGGTCCTCCAATATAAATGTGCCTGGAGCCTGGATTTATAGGATTGGTAGAACTAATGGAGGCAACATATTATCTCCTGATCTAAACACTGGGGATGGTAAATGCTCCTAAGAATATTTATTAATAAAAGGAGAGAGGTGGATATACATCAATGAGAGCAAGCCATCCACACTAAAAATACCAAAAAGATATCTATAAGTCAACATACAATTTAAACAATATACAATAGCTTATAATGATAGTCTTATAACATACATCTTATAAGTTCCACAATTTAATTTTTGACTGGTTAGGAGATTACCTTTAAATATTTGTTTTCCCTTGGTAAATAAATCAGTTATTCTAAGATGAACTTGAATCATGAAAAAAAAATGTAATTCAGACATTGTTATTGAACAATGTTTATATCCAATCATAATATGAATGAGTCTCTAGTCACATGAATGTTCTGAGCTTTGTCTGGTCTAGTTGTTTGAGCTTTTGCTACAATATTGATAAAATGTAACATGTAGGACAGTGAAAACATTGCTGAGTGTCCACACTTCTTGCATAGTTTCAAGGCAACAATAAATGTATAATGTCATGTTGTTTCAGTGACTATCTTTGAACCTGACATGGGATCAGATACATGTTTAGAAGGAGCCAAAACTTGTCATATCAATGCACAATGTGTAGATTTTGAGAAAGGTTTCTGTTGTGAATGTATGACACCATTCTATGGAAACGGATTAAGCTGTTTGAAACCAGGTATGTTTATGTCTATGCTCTTTGTTCTGTTGTGAATGTATGACACCGTTCTATGGAAACGGATTAAGCTGTTTGAAACCAGGTATGTTTTATATGTCTATACTCTTTGTTCTGTTGTGAATGTATGACACCGTTCTATGGAAACTGATTAAGCTGTTTGAAACCAGGTATGTTTATGTCTATACTCTTTGTTCTGTTGTGAATGTATGACACCGTTCTATGGAAACGGATTAAGCTGTTTGAAACCAGGTATGTTTATGTCTATGCTCTTTGTTCTTTTGTGAATGTATGTCACCGTTCTATGGAAACGAATTAAGCTGTTTAAACCAGGTATGTTTATGTCTATGCTCTTTGCTCTGTTGTGAATGTATGACACCATTCTATGGAAACGGATTAAGCTGTTTGAAACCAGGTATGTTTATGTCTATGCTCTTTGTTCTGTTGTGAATGTATGACACCGTTCTATGGAAACGGATTAAGCTGTTGGAAACCAGGTATGTTTATGTCTATACTCTTTGTTCTGTTGTGAATGTATGACACCGTTCTATGGAAACGGATTAAGCTGTTTGAAACCAGGTATGTTTATGTCTATGCTCTTTGTTATGCTGTGAATGTATGACACCATTCTATTGTAATTCCACTTTGACATATACAGGTATAACAATCGCCTAAGAGCTGAAGGTTTTTTGTTACATGAAATTGTATGATTAAGAGATATTTTCATCTAAATCCAAGAAAAAAACAATGTACAATAAGAGATAGCTTTCTAAGCAGCTTTACATAACTAAAGATATTCACAACAACACAAAAAGAAATATCTTAAATGTGGATCTCACACTCAATAATGGGATCCTTTAATTAATTTTACCAACCAGTAATAAATAAGTTTTTTTTTTAATCAGAGCAAATAATAAAACAATGACATTAAGTATTGGTATACTGGAAGCAGTGAATTTTTTCTCAGACATGAAAGTTGTACTATCACTATTATACTGAATCCAATGTATATTTTGCTAAGTTTATTTTAAGGTTTGAGAAAAATGCCTTCTTGTCCATGTTAAATTTCATCTTAACTTGTGTGTTTCAGTTTGAGATAAATAAAAAACTAAAATAAAAATTTAATTATCAATGAATCATTGTTGCACAGATTCCAGACAGGTATAAATGTAATTACAGAAAAATAAAGACATATGCTTAGCAACCGGTTACTCAAAAAACCAAATCAAATCCTTAAACATTTGATACTTTTATTTTTTAGCAAGAGGTAAATACACTGTGTGTAAACAGAATACAATTGTGTGTAAACAGAATACAATAACAATTAATGTATATGGTATTAATTTATATCTGCAACAAACTTTTCTGAATTTCAAATTCTTGATATATATATTCAACTTATCTCTTTCTCTGAAAAGTTGCATATAGTATACATATACATATATATATATATATATATATATATTGGTAAATTAAAACTTTATATGGGTCACCATTGTATAGTTATATCCTTTACAAGAGAGTAAAAATGATTTATTTTCATGTTATATCATAGATATGTTTGATCTTGAATCAATTTCTTACTCTTAAGTGTGTACAATGGGAGGTAACTCTCATTGTACCTAATTGATGCCTTGTACTAGATTTGCCCGTCTTGTTACTTCATCCAGGTTTTAGTTAACATATGGTTTTAAGCAAGAGAGCATGTTCCAGTCACATTTTATTATGTATTTGATATATTTTTTTTCTTATAATTTTATTCTTACAGGGTTCAGATGCTTCATATTGACACTTTGTTCATTGTAGCTTATTGATACCATGTTTGGTATAACTAATTATTTGATTGCATTTTTATAATAAAGCACCTTTCACAAAACACTTTTAGTTGTCAATTGACAAAAGGGTAAGTTGACATGGGTCCTACTACCATCAATATTTTATATTTTCATATTCTTTCTTTGAAAAGGATTGGCAGGAAAAAATCAAACTTGGCAGAGAGGTTCCTTGCATGGTTCTTTCCTTTTGTTCCAATTTATTGATAAACATTGCCACAATAATATTCCAAATTCTGATTAGTTGAATTTTGAAAAACTTCTCAAGAACATTGTATAAATCAAAAATTGTTTTCTTATCACTGAAATTTGTGGAGTACCATGATTTTTTGTTTTTTGACCAGGCATTGATTTTGAAGAATCAGTATTTTTTTGTAATCCTGCAGGATGATTTCAGAGAGGCTGGCATGAATGAAAATCTATTAATTTTTGATTGGTTTTAGTTGCAAGAACAAATGAAGTTAATTTAATACTAACAATTCAGGATCATTTTAAAAAAAAAAAACTTTGTGAAAAAAGGTCTAATACAGCTTCAATGAGCCCCCAAAAAGACAGTTTGGTCTGAATTACAAAGAATATTTCTTTCAGTGACTGAATTGTATAAATTATTCCAATGATTTGTTTTATTTCGGTGCCAAACAGGCTCAAGGGACCAAAAAAGTTTCTTGAAAAAAAACCTTTGATGCAGAAATGTTTTTCAAAATGAGTTTAAGGTAGATCAGGAGTTTAAATTGATTTTTTTATTGCAAATAGCTGCAAATGATCAGGCTATTAACATTTGATTGAGAATTGGAATTTATATATGGGACTTTTCATTTAAATGATTTTATCTTATGGTAACATCTGTTTTTAGAAAAAAAGAAAATGATTTCATGGATTTAAAAAAATAGATCTATGTTAAACCAAGGGAGATAACTTTGAAGATAATTTATTTTCATAAAGAAATGTACAATTAATTTACTTATGTTACATGAAAAAAAGTATGGTGACCTCAATTTTTATTGTTGTTTTCTTAAAGCACATTACAAGAGCTATCTTCTCATATTTTAATTTTCCATGTACAAATAATGTATAATCCTTACAAAATCTGTATCCTGAAACTCAGTGACCCATACTTTTTATAATATTTGTGAAAATGGCATGATATAGACTATATTTTATCATTTTTAATTTTATCTATTTATAAACTGAAGCACTTTTCTGGATTTACCTCCAACACCAAGAACATCAAGAAATCTCAAACCCAAAAATTGGAAAGCCAGGGATCTATAACAATTTAAAAGCTTTATGACCAGAAGGAGCTGAAAAACTGATAGTGAAAGAATATATCTTAAAATACATGTGTATAAAAACAAAATCTCTAAAAAAAAATAAATAAGAAAGAAGTATTATTAAGCAAGAAGAAGAAACTGTATTAATCTTAGTTGATCAAAGATATGTTATTATATTAACAGGAGTAGCTCAGAGACTGAACGGCAAGCTTAATGGGGTATTGAACAGCCTGTCTCTAACGAACCTAGACATGCATGCTTATGTAGTTACCGCTGATGGAAGAGCCTACACAGCTATAAGTCGTATCCCCAGAGCCATCGGAGCACAGATGTTGACACTGAACACTATTGGTGGTATCGTTGGATGGATGTTTGCTGCCACACAATCAGATAGAGCTAAAAATGGGTATATGTTGACAGGTAGGACTGTTAGAATAGCAAACGCTTTAAATCTGAAATATGAAGGCTTTAAAAAAACAAGAAGAAGGAGGAGACATAGGAAGAAATAAAGAAAAGTTGTCAAATTAAAAGATGTTAGAAAACAAAATTGGAAGTAAATCTTAAATAGATGCTGCAAATATCTTATTTCCTTAGGATTAAAACACATCAATACTTCTGATTAAACATACAAAGTTGAAAGATACAAAAAGCTAACAATTATAAATATTCTATCCATGTTTTAGTCTATATTAAATAATATTTTTATTTCACTGCATTTTCTTCATATCAACAACCTGTCACTAGCAATGAGCTAAAATATTTACAAATTATTCATTTTGAGGATAAATTCAAACTTCATCCTTGGAAACAAATTTGGCCGGTTAGTATTGTAAAAGAACAAATCCTATTGAAGTAGCACAATGATATATAGATTTGTAAGTAAACCTCACAAGGACCTTTTTAGTCACAGTATGATTTAATTTTAGGTGGTGAATTTAACAGAACAGCAGTAATTAAGTATCAGAGTGGGCAAACTGCATATGTTAGACAACAGTTCTTTGGCCATGATGCTCTAGATAGCATTGCCCTACAGACCACGATAGAAGGAACTGTCCCCGATATAATTAATGGAGTAAAGATCACAATAGATGATTATAAGGAAGAGTATAGGAGGGTTTCTCCAGGTATTAAAATTTGACAACTGTTATAAGAATCAGGCAATAGGAATTTAATTATATTTGAATAAAGTGTAATTTTTCGAGCTTACTAGTAGTTCTGATTATAAACCTCCTATTATCTAATAATGAAGATTTTTGGACAATTGTCAATGAAAACAGCAAACTTTGTCATGTATACATAGATTATTTTGATTTTGATATGTCTGTGAGAAGGCTTGTTTTCTTCATTAATTAGGTGTACTCATTTTGTTTTCTCATTAATAAGGTGTTATAAAATCATTTTCCACAAGAACATACAGAATGAACGAAGTAGCATACAAGTATACCTGGGATCAAACCATTACATTCAAGGAATGTCAACACGACCCATCCAGACTGATTTCTGATAGTATGAGATTAGGTGTAACTAGAAACTTTGTTGTCTATGATGACCAGAATGATGTTGTCAGATACGCTATGTCTAATAAAATTGGAATTATGACTGGTAAGTACGATGGAAGTTCACAATTCAGAATATATTGACTGTGAAATTTATAGTCTTCTTTGCATGAAAGATATAGAAGGTAAGACACATGTATTAAGGTTCGTTCATCAGATACTATAAGCAAAAGATCCACTATATTTGCTCTATGGAGTAGTTGTTAGATGTACATGTCAATTGAGCAGGATTCACCTGACTTCTGCCTCATTTGGATGGTTCAAAGAATCATGTAATAAACATTAATTATAAACAGTAAAAGTACAACTACATTTGGTTGAAAGAACTCTAGTTATATATAAATGCACCTCTTGTGAGGAATAATTGATCTCTACTTCACAAAGTTTAATGATTATCATGTTGAATAAGATTCCTACACAAGTTAATACTGTATGAAGTAAAAGATCAACTATGCATGTTAATAGATTTTTAAGGGTACCATCACTGTACATATAAATAAAAGGAGATAAGGGATATACACCAATGAGATGGTAATCCAATGACACAAATGACCACCAGATATTTTGAAAAAGAGGGCAATATACAGTTTTCAGTAATAGACAGGTGTCTGTCTGATGGGTTCATCCGATATTGACCTCATTTTCATTTTTCAGTTTTCCTCAATGAAATATTTGCCACTGGATGTTCAACAAATAATCAATCATTTTTGATATTCAAAGATCCATTTGAAGTTGATACCATCATTTTAACAGTTGATATATTGAATGCTGTATATTGATACCTGCCTAATTGACAGGCCTCACCTGTATGACATTGTCCTCAATATCATTGGTTAGTCAAATTGTAAAAACCTGACTATGTCTAGACTTATGAATTAATAACAAAATGCAAGATTTTGAACCTGTTGAGTTCAATTCTGTATGTACCTAAACCTAAGAATTTCCAGAATTTTGACAGTTTATTAGATTATTGTGCTATTTTTATCAGTATGTACAATTATAAAATCACAGATGTTTTTCAGGGTTAGTTAAGTTATAAATGTATATAGAAATATACAATTAAACATATAATAGAGAAATGTGTTTGTAGGAATGGATCCCTGTCTTGAAGGAGTACAGAATTGTGATTCTAATTCTAATTGTATACCTCGTGGTGACCAGTATGATTGTGTATGTAAGACAGGATTCTCTGGTGATGGACGTGCTTGTACAGGTATGTTATATTGATATTGTTTTTAACCCTTACAAGACTACAAGATAAAATTGAGAATGGAAATGGGGAATATGTCAAAGAGACAACAATCCGACCAAAGAGTAGATACCAGCCGAAGGCCACCAATGGGTCTTCAACACAGCCAGAAAATTCTGCACCTGGAGGAGGTCCTCAGCTGGCCCCTAAATAAAATTGTGTACTGGTTCAGTGAAAATGGACGTCACACTAAACTCCAAAACATATAAAGGAACTAAAATTAAAAAAACATACAAGACTAACAAAGGCCAGAGGCTCCTGACTTGGGGCAAAAATGCGGCGGGGTTAAACATGTTTTGTGAGATCTCAACCCTTCCCCTATACCTCTAGCCAATGTAGAATAAAGAAACACATAGCAATACGCACAGTAAAACTCAGTTTAAAAGAAGTCTGAGTCCGGTGTCAGAATAGGTAACAAAAAAACTTAAGCAAAATGACAATGATACATAAATTAACAAAGGACTACCAGCAATTACTGACATGCCAGCTCCAGACCTCAATTAAACTTATTGAAAGATTATGTCTTCATCATATGAAAATCAGGTACAATCCCTCCCGTTAGGGGTTTAGTATCATACCATCATAAAATATATGAGAAGAACATAACCCGTATCATGCCAACAACTGGTTTTAGAATAAATGTGTTTATTTCCGACACAAAGACCCTATGAGTGAATCAATATTAATACCAAAATATGCAATCCTTAATGATCTGACAAAGTATCGTAACTATATCCCTTCCGAATAAGTCTGTTTAAAGGTTTGGTTAGCTTTTAAGGTGAATGCCGACATTTTTGTGCTTTGTAAAGAATATTACCATAAAATATTGAGTCTGGCCTTTTTGAAATCTTACACAACATAGATATGAAAAAGATTGTTATGATTTTTTTCATAATAAAAGTCAAAGTGAAAATTAAGAATATAACCACCAATGTTGAAAGGTCAAACAACCAAAGTTAAAACACTTCAATAAAATATCATTGACAATAAATACAAGTATGAAAATATCATCAACAGTAATATTTGCTGCTTGTGTTGACAGAATTTCTTTTTAGATGTGTTTAGTTTAATTATTTTAGTCTCCAGGAGTTATTAGCAATTGTACTTTTCAAGTTGTTAGAAATAGTATGTTATTTGCATGGTAGAAGGAAACAACTCATTAGATATGCTCAGAACCAAATATTAGATATTTATTGGTGCCAATTTACCTCATAAATTAGTCTGAATAATTATGACGTCCAGAAAGGCTATTTTAATTTTTTGCTATGATGCCTGCATTGCACAGCAAAAAATGAAAATAGCCTTTCTACACGCCTTAATTATTTGGACTACCTCTTGCAAGTAAAACTGATTGCTATATATGCATAAAAATCTTTACTTGTAAGTTTTTATCTTGTCTGCAATGAAAGTCATGGTATGCATAATGTAGGTGTTATGTTTCAGCAACTGTAGAATAGAAAATTTATAAAAACTTAAATATCTTATTTCCATTTTTACCCAGATATATTTGTGTATGGAGGTTATTCCTAATAAGACATTTTCACCTGTCAATTCCATCTGGCCATGACCTCATTTTCACACTTAAGTTATTTTAGATAGGAAAATTTTTCCTGATTAAGTCTGCACAGTAACTATACATTATAGGTCAACAACTTTGATTTATGGATTGGTTGTAAGGAGTATATATCTCTCTGACTTATAAAACATGGCCTTGACTCAGGGCCTAATCTAGGATTTTGGAGAGGGAGAAGTGACTTCTTCCATGAGAGAGAATGGAGAAGTGGTCAATTTCTTGGAGAAGAGAGATTCCATTACCGTTCCGGGTGCATTGTTTTCGTGCTTATCACTAAGGAAATTGTTTACTATGCAATAAAAAATATACTTGCAGTTTTTATACGACCGCAAAAATTAAAAATGTTTTGGTCGTATATTGGTATGACGTTGGCGTCGTCGTCGTCGTCTGGCGTCGTCCAGCGTCGTCCGAAGACACATTGGTTTTCGCACTCTAACTTTAGTTTAAGTAAATGGATCTCCATGAAATTTTACCATAAGGTTCAATACCACAAAAGGAAGGTTGGGATTGATTTTGGGGGTTATGGTACCAACAGTTAAGGAATTAGGGGCCAAAAATAAGCATTTTTGTAACTTCCAGACAATAACTTGTGTGTAAGTGTATGGATCTCTCTGACATTGTACCACAAGGTTCCATATCACAAAGGGAAGGCTGTAATTGATTTTGGGGGTATTTGCCTCAAAATTTTAGGAATTAGGGGCCAAAAAAGGGGCAAAAAACAAGCATTTTTCTAGTTTCATGACAATAACTTGTGTGTAAGTGTTTGGATATTTATGAAATTGTACTACAAGGTTCCATATCACAAAGGGAAAGCTGGAATTGAGTTTGGGGGTAATTGCCCGAAACGTTTAGGAATTGGGGGCCAAAAAGGGGCCAAAAATAAGCATTTTTCTAGTTTCCAGACAAGAACTTGTGTTCAAGTGTATGGATCTCTCTGAAATTGTACTGCAAGGTACCATACCACAAAGGGAAGGCTGGGATTGAGTTTGGGGGTGATGAATCATAATGGGGTTAAAAAATTTGGGGGGGGGGGGATTTTTTTTTTTTCTTTTTTTTTCTTTTTTTCCTTTTTTTTTTCTTTTAAAATTTTCCATTTTAAGTTGGTTATTTCTGATTTATATTTAAAAGCAAATAGTAATGATATGGTAGGAGATACACACCAAACAGGATGTGTAAATTATTATATAATAAGTATTGTGCAATAGCAAGAAATTTTCAATTGCACACTATTGCACAATAGCAAGAAATCTTCAATTGCACAGTATTGCGCAATAGCAAGAAATCTTCAATTGCACAGTATTGCGCAATAGCAAGAAATATCCAATAGCACAATATTGAGCAATAGCAAGAAATTGTCAATTGTACAGTATTGCGCAATAGCAAGAAATATTCAATTGCACAGTATTGTGCAAAAGAAGATACTTCGTATAAATTGCTTATTTCTTGATCAATTTCAATGGGGTTTTATTCTTGAATTCTTGGGGTTCTTTAATATGCTGAATCTAACCGTGTATTAAGTTTTTGGATTTTGGGCCCCGTTTTTAAATTGGTCCACATTGAGGTCCAAAGGGTCCAAAATTAAACTTTGTTTGATTTCATCAAAAATTGAATTATTGGGGTTCTTTGATATGCTGAATCTAACCGTGTATTTAGATTCTTAATTTTTGGTTCCGTTTTCAAATTGGTCTACATTAAGGTCCAAAGGGTCCAAAATTAAACTAAGTTTGATTTTAACAAAAATTGAATTTTTAGGGTTCTTTGATATGCTGAATCTAAACATGTATTTAGATTTTTGATTATGGGCCCAGTTTTCAAGTTGGTCCAAATCGGGGTCCAAAATTAAACTTTGTTTGATTTCAACAAAAATTGAATATATGGGGTTCTTTGATATGCTGAATCTAACCATGTATTTAGATTTTTGAGTTTTTGGCCCCGTTATCAACTTTGTCCACATTGAGGTCAAAAGGGTCCAAAATTAATCTTTGTTTGATTTCATCAAAAATTGAATTCTTGGGGTTCTTTGATATGCTGAATCTAACCATGTATTTAGATTTTGGATATTGGACCATAATAGGTGAATGTCCAATTTAAAATTTTTAAGTTCTTAGACCACATTCATTCTGTGTCAGAAACCTATGCTGTGTCAAATATTTAATCACAATCCAAATTCAGAGCTGTATCAAGCTTGAATGTTGTGTCCATACTTGTCCCAACTGTTCAGGGTTCGACCTCTGTGGTCGTATCAAGCTGCGCCCTGCGGAGCATTTTATTTCATATGTTATTGTACAAAAAGTGTACATAGAAAGTTCTTAATAAAAAGGTTTAGACAATATAGTTATTATTTATTTATTGATACCATTTGTACTGTCAACTTGAATTTAAGTCGAAATAAAATTTGTTGCTTGGGACATTAGGGAGTAGCCTAGTAATATTATGATGCATTAAATTCATATGCATCTGCCTCAATTTATTTTTAAAAGTCCAGAAAAATATGACTCCCAGTTTACCTGATGAATTTCACATGTCATTGACTGGGAATTTAATTTATGATCACCACTTGTCATTATTTTGTAAAATAATTATTGAATGTCCAGGACATCATGTTAATTTCTCGTTAAAGTTTGTAAGCCTATTAATGAAAATATCTGTCAATCACATATTAATTAATCGATATAGAGCTAATTTCTATCATTTTTATTAAGGATATCTTCTATATCAACGAAATTTGTGGTAAAAAAAAAATCCACTGCTGATCACAAGCTGGTCGAGTGTCATTCGTTTGTAATCACATTATCCATCAGCTGTCTTTCTACCTTTTATATTTCAATTTTATTTAATGAATATATAAATTTTTTGTTAATTCCCGAATAGTGCCATTGATCGACTCGTTAAAAAATAAAAAAATAAAACAAATCAGATGAGTGATTACGCAACATCCTCCGTACAATGATAACTTAAACAGACGGTCAGTTTTCCGTTTGAATAGTTTTGAATGTTATATCCGAGGATGTTCAAAGTCGCCGTTGAATTTATTTTATTTGGTCGTCGATAGTATTAGTCCTGGGTCGTTTCGAAAATCTCGACTTTCCTTGTCAGTCGCCATTTTTTTTTACCTGTGAGACTTGTAAATCACAAGTTATCTCCCTTTTACTGATTTTGATCGCGATTTGACTTCGCCATGAAGTCAATCAGCCGGCGAGATTTAGCGATTTTTAAAATTCGTTGGCGACTTAAATTGTCATTTCGCCGGCAAGATTATGGCCTGCCTTGACTTCATTTTCAAGTTCAATTAGTTGAAATGGTACAGGACTAGTTCTATTCCTCAATATTTATACATTGTAGGTCAACAATAATGAGTTCTTTTGAGGACCATCTGACGTGTTGCAATGCC